TTCATATTTATGTGAAGTAAGTTTATACCTACCATTTTTTCATTTTCCGAACCGAAAATATCAAGAAAGCCTCCAACTTAGAGAAACTTGCCAGTACAAGGAAAAGTGAAGCCTTTATTAGTTGGTAAGTTTTTTGTACACCTACTTTCACAAAACTGGATATCCAAAATTAAAAAAAGTTAAAATAAATCCAAGAGGGAAATACTATTAATTTTTATTTTACAACAAAATGTGTAATAATTAAATAAATATTACTCAAAACTAAATTTGTTTTGGGACAAATTAAAATAAAATGTATACCCGCATAGACCATTACAAAATGTTGGACAATTTGGAAAAAAATTGAAAAATTTTAATTGACAATAAAGGCATGTTTTAGTTTATTCTAAGTTTTTTATTTTTTTTACCACTTTATACATGTTATCTTCAATTTAAATAAATTATTTTAAATTTTTTGGAAAGCAGAATTTTTTAAAAAGTATTTTTTTTATAAAATTAACAAGATATCCCGTATGTAGCAAACTTAATCGGACACTGTATATAGCATTTCCAAATAAAAATAAAAGAAATTGATAAAGAACTACCTGATAATTACCATTTTGTTTGTTCCAAAATAAGCAAATAATTGAATGATTTCTTTTTCTTTTAGAAGTAAATACAATTGAGCCACACATTTCTACAGATGTAATACCAATACTTTCTACATCGACTAGTAATCTGCTCTCTACTAGTAATCTGCCATCTACTTCAGCTACTGATTTTATTGGTAATCTGACATCGACATTAGAATCTAGTTCAAGTGAAGAAAGTGTATCAAGTATTTCTTTTACCGAAGATGTAAATAAGGAAAATATTTTATGTAAAACATTGTATAATAAGGAAAGGAAATTATTTTTGTCCTATATACTGCTGTCTCTAAATTATTAAAAAAATTCTTAATAATATTTTGTAAATACATTGTTATTTTACGTAGACCTGTTTTTTTTATTTTTTTTCCCAATTTACTATTTCATTTGTAATCTACAAAAAAGAAAAGAAACTACAGTTATAAGCCAAACTATATTAAGTTCATTATTTTTTGTAATAATTTTAACCTTTATCTTCACAGAAAATATTTTGGTATTACTAATTTCACTAAAGTGCAAAATTTTACACTCTTTAGTCTTTTTACACATGATTTTTTGTGTAAGATTTCTTTAAAAAAAAATACTTAAATTATGCTTTTATTTGAATTTCGATGCAACATGGCGGGTGGGCGGAGCTTATACGCTATTGTCGCCACTGTCTTGTTAAAGTCACTGTAATTTCGAGTCGACTTTAGCGCCATCTATTAGAGAAGCTCCGAATTAACCTGTGGCTACTTGTATGAAATTTTAAGAAGTTTTCTTTTATATTCTATGCAATTTTTACATATAAATGGCGATTTATAATTTTTTCCAATATTTACTTCAATGAGCTTTTAAGGAAATTGACGCAATTAATTTAAATATTTTAAACGACATTAGTTGCTTTAGTATATAGCCTATTCAAAGAAGAATTATTTTCATCATCGGGTAATTATTACTGGTATATTTTTAGCTTTATTTCATCGTAAAAATTACCATATTTTGGGAATTATTTTTAAACGATCCCTGATAGTTAGAGACACCAAAAACCTTTATTGAACAGTAGTATATATCTATTATCGGCAGGAATTTTTTCACTTTTCTCTTTGTTGTAGTTTCAGCTAAAAAGTCATTGAAAGAGCGTTGTGTATGCCTATGTTAAATACATTGCCCACGCCCGCCCTTAAGGAATATAGTGATATAAATGTTGGCAATTATTTGCCCGTAGATGTGGCATTTATCTATCAACCAGATCCAGCCATAAATCAAAATCACATTGTTTCCGTAGAAATAAAAGTCAATAATAAAACATTCCGAGGTGTACCAATACCATCGGGCGCATACTTTGATTACTATACGGTGCAAGAAAGAGGTCCAACACGCCCAACATAGAGCGCGGCTATTTTGATGCCTTTATCACAGTTTATAACTAAAGAATCAGTCGCTCACTCTGCGTCGGCACTTTTTATCTCAATGTTCCATTTTATACACTGCGCAAATCGGGTAATACAATATATGACAACCGCCTGTAATAAAACAGCAGTCTTCTGCGCATCCTGAATCTGTATCCCTGGAGTGGATGTTATTTTGGAACTTTCAACTGGTCCGAGTGAGCTAACTGATTCTTTAGCAATAAACTGTGACTCCAAAAATAATATTCTCTCTGTAACACTGACAGCAGCAAGCAAAATATTAAAAATATTGCGCCAAGATGTAGGCAACACTTTCAGTGAAATGAGTCAAAAGGATATTACTTTTTTACCTAATTCGCAAACCAAAGTATACAATTTCAGAAAAGCTGATTTTCCATCACTGTATACGGAAATGTCAAGCCTCGACTGGGGTTTTTTGGATGTATACAATGTCAATAGGATGGTTAGTGATTTTTATGATAAAATATATCTTGTGTTTGATAAACACATTCCAACTTACAGAAATTATAAACATAAATATCCAACATGGTTTGATTCAGACATTATTAAATATATAAAACTGAAAGAAAGATATCATCGGAAGTATAAAAAAATAGGGCTACATGCAGATTTGCTCGAATTTAAACGGCTTAGAACACTAATTAAACAGAAAATTAAAATATCCTACGATAATTATTTGGAAGATGTTCAGTTAAGTATTTCAAATAATTCTGAAAAATTTTGGTCTTATATACATTCAAAAAACAAATCTTCGAGAATACCAGGTGAAATGAGTTTAGATGGGACTGTTTTCAGTGATCCGCAAGGTATAGTTAATGCATTCAAATCATTTTTTGAAAGGGTATACTTACCTTCGGATTCCGATAATCCTGATGAACTAGTAGGAAATATTAGTACGCAACCCATGACAATAAATATGTCAGCATTTTGTGAAAAAGAAATCGATGTGGCTGCTGGTAAACTTAAAAATAAGATGACATCGGGTCCAGACAACATACCGTCCTTCTTAATTAAGGATTGTTCCAGAATTTTAACACAGCCTCTTTTAAAAATTTTTAATTTATCGGTAAAGACGGGGAAATATCCTAAACTATGGAAAGAAGCTAGAATATGCCCAATATTTAAAAGCGGGACAAAGTCTGAGGTAGGAAACTATAGGCCGGTGTCACTATTGTGCAACTTTTCGAAGATCTTCGAGGTCGTTCTGTATAATCGTATATATCCATTTGTCCCAAGTTACATTTCACCATATCAGCATGGGTTTATAGACAAACGGTCAACGGTAACAAATTTAACTGTGATTACACAATTTATTGCGGATGTATTAGATGACCAAGGACAGGTGGATGTGATATATACCGATTTCTCGAAGGCATTTGATAGAGTTAAGCATAGCTTCTTAATTTCAAAGCTTTCAAAGACTGGTTTTTCTAACAGCACTTTAGCTTTATTTAAGTCATATTTATCAAATAGGACACAATTCGTTACTTACAATGGATTTAAATCAGAATCAATTGCGGTTACATCTGGAGTACCACAGGGTTCAAATCTTGGACCTTTACTATTTTTAATATTTATTAATGATTTATACAATGAAATTAGTTGTAATAAATTGTGTTTTGCGGATGATTTAAAGATTTTCTTAAGAATTAAAAATACAGATCACTGCAATGAGCTCCAGAGAAATTTGAACTGTATTAATAACTGGTGTAAGACAAATATGTTACACCTAAATGCTCAAAAATGTAAGATAGTTACTTACTCTAGGAAAAGATAAAATATTCAATTCTCATATTCGATTGGAGATAATGAGTTGGAGAGATGTTCTACTATTAGGGACTTAGGTGTAATTTGTGATGCTAAATTAACCTTCTCAAATCATATTCAAGTTAAAGTTTCCGAAGCTTTTAGAATGTATGGATTCATTATTAGAAACTGCAGGCAATTTTCAAATATAGCACCCCTTAAATTATTATTTAGTACCCACGTGCGTTCTAAGCTGGAATATTGTAGTCTGATCTGGAACCCTTATTACAACTGCTACGTTCTGGATATAGAACGGGTTCAAAGAAAATTTTTAAAATACCTAGTTTTCAAAATTGATGGAGTATATCCCGAACGTGGTTGTGATTATACGGAGTTGTGTAAACAATTTGATATTAATAGCCTGAGCCTAAGAAGGAACACATCCTCGCTTATTTTTTTATTTTTCTATTTAAACTCATGCACAATTTTATTGATTGTAGCGATATTTTGTCACAAATTAAATTTAATATACCCCGTCTAAATTCTAGAACCAACAAGCTATTCGAATGCCCTAGGGCAAAAACCAACTTGATGTTAAAATCACCCTTATATGTAATGTGTAACAATTACAGTAAAATTAGTAGTCATTGCGATATTTTTCATTGTTCTCTTGGTGAACTAATTAAAAATGCAGTTACTTTCCTTAACGAAATATTGTAATAAGTATATTGTATTATATTGAATTCTCCCTGTGTTATTTTTGTAAGAATTTTTTTTTTAATATATTCTTGGCTTGTTCACAATATTCATTTATTTTCTATTATAGTTTTTATTTTGCAACTTTTAATTAGTTTTCGTGTAAATATATGTTACATCACAACCCATAAGTAGAATTTACTTTTGTAATTTATTAATTTAATTTTTAGATACCACTTTATTATTGTTACTTACTATTAAGAATATTGTCCTGTAAATGGGAAACTGTTGGGCAATAAAGCTATTATTATTATTATTAACACGTAATAAGGCATCAAAATGGCTGAGTTTTCTATCTCCTTTTAAAAGACACTGAGAAAGCTGCGCAGTGCGACCATTCTTCGTATAGTAAGAGAAAATCAAAGTATGTGATATCGGGGCTCTAATTGTTATAATCGCCTAACCTTAAAAGCCTGTAATTTTCTATTTATAATACCGAATAAAGAAAGCATCATTTTAGGCCCCTCAACCAATTGAACCTTGGAAGGAACTAAAGGACGCAAGAAAATTCAGCAACGAATGCGTTCAAAAAGATGGAGAAATCAGAAAAACAAAAGGGTCAGAGGATTGTCTAAATATTAATGTTTTTACAAAAGTGGTAAGTTACAATCTTTGTGGTAAAAAATAATTTTGGATTTTTGTAATCAAGGTACATCCCTTTTACTTTTTATTCTTGTTTTTATAGATTTATAGCTATGTTTTAATTTGACTATTTATCTATTTTTAGTTAAATTGATCCCATTCCTTCACTAATCTAATCTCATACAAATTATTGTCGTTATCAAATTTTTAGTGTAGTGAGTTTCCCTTTTTAACATCCTTTTTTTCATTTTGGTAACTGTACAAGTTCCCATGCCTCCTTGAGTCCTCTCCCTTTTTGAAGCCACTTTGTTTCTTCTTCAGTGCTCGTCTGACTTATGGCTTAGTTTAATTGATGTGACCCATGTTAATTCATAATACCCACTCTGTTACCCGTGTTCCTTGTATAAGTCCTTGACAGAATATGTTCTATAGGTTCTTTAATCAACTTGTGGTTGTTCAAAAAGTGCCTGTCGTTTTCAATCCAGTGTTTGGCAGTAGTAGAAGTATTTGACTGTTTCTGATTCCTTGTGGTAATGTCGACACAATAGGTCCCCATTAAACATGCTTATTTTGTTCAGGTATCGCGTTTACTAGGACATGCCCATTCGTAAGTTCTGCTACTGTTATCAACTGGTTTTTCTCCTATTTTTTTTAACATAGTTTTTATAAAGGTTATCCAATGGTTTGTTTTCAGACATTCTCCTAATATTTTGTTTTTTTTTTTTGAACCCAGACTTTTATGACACCTTGAACTGTACTTTTTAGTAGTTCAAGGGTTATTTGACGTAGCACCCATATTAGTTTTACTCTATTTTCGTCTCTCAGTGTTCTTAGTTCTTCGATGTAATCCCATATCGGCCTCGATGTCATTTTCTGTTTCGATATGGCCTTAAACTCCGCATCTGATATTATTTGATATTATCTGATATTATTTGGATTGGCTTCTATTGTTTATTCTTGCAAAAATACTAAAATAGGTTTTCCTATTGCATACCTAAGGTTGTTGTTTGGGTTTTTGAAGAATACTAGTGTCTGTGCAATAGTCACTAGTTCAGTGGTCGCCAACTTATCGATCGCGAGCTACCGGTAGCTCGCGGAGGCAATTCTGGTAGCTCTCACAATGATTTTAATTTAAAAAATACAAACTGCAAAAATCAGAGAAGCTTCCGAAAATTCCACAAAAAAATCTAATTGTCATAATATTAAACATAAACAGCGGCAACGTTGCGGTGAGCGATCTGCCGCTGACGCCATCAAGCTAGAATCGGCTATAACCGACCAGCCGGACCAGCGCGTTAGTGTTCGAGAACGATCAGGATTGCTTTGAACGGGATAAATACGCACGGCGCGGCGACATTGCGCTTAGTTTAAAACTGAACGCGTAACCAACGTCCAGCGGTTGGGTTAGTAGAGAACAACAAAAAATAATATTATGGCAAGCAGTTGTAAGAAGGTAAAGACATACCACTTTCATTCGGAATGGGAAGAACAATACTTTTTTACAGAAGTTAAAGATAAAAATATGTGTTTGTTATGTAATACTTCGGTCTCCGTTGCTAAAAAAGGAAATATTGAGAGACATCATAAAACTGTTTATTCTAATTTTGAAAAATCATTCCCACTACATTCTGCCGCCAGAAAGGAGAAACTGAAACAGTTAAAAAAGCAGTTAATTGAACAACAATCAATATTTTAAAGAACAGTCGACAAAAATAAGGCTGCAACTGAAACATCGTACCGTGTGTGCCAGATAATTGCACAAAAAAAGAAACCTTACGAAGACGGGGAAATGATAAAACAGGCGTTTTTAAAAGCTGCTGATTCGTTATTTGCCAACTTTAGAAATAAAGACGAGATAGTTTCAGCTATAAAATCTATGCAACTTTCTGCTAATACAGTGATGAGACGTGAAGAAGTAATGAGCAATGATATTTTTTTACAGTTAAGAACTGACTTAGATAACTGTGTTTATTTTTCACTTCAACTGGATGAATCAACAGATGTCGTTGACACTGCCTAGAAGGCCGTGTTCGTCAGGATGGTTTTTAGTGATTTTAGGATTAAAGAAGCTCTTTTGAAGTTTATTCCACTGAAAGGACACACTACTGGACATGAGTTGTTTTCTCATCTAAAAAATATTATTTCTTCCGAGAAAATTCCAATATCGAAAATCGTAGGCTTGACAACCGATGGCGCTCCAGCTATGGTGGGTTGTGATAAGGGTCTGGTGGCGTTATGTCGTAAAGATGAAACTTTTCCGCAATTTCTCTGTTACCACTGCATTATCCATCAGCAAGCATTATGTGGAAATTTCCTGAAACTAAACAACGTTATGAAACTGGTGGTAAAGATTGTGAACAAGATTAGAGCTCAAGCGTTACAAAGAAGATTATTCATAACCTTGGCCGATGAAGTTGACTGTCAATACGGGGACCTACTCCTTCACTCTGAAGTCCGATGGTTAAGTAGAGGACGGGTGCTGAAACGTTTTAATGATGTCCTATCTGGCATAGTTCAATTTTTCAAACAACGCGATGAACCGACTCCGGAACTAGAAAATTCAATCCGGCTTGGAGATTTTGGTTTTCTCGTGGACATTACAGAGAAATTAAACGAACTTAATTTGCAGCTTCAGGGGAGGGAAAAAGAACTAGCGGGAATGATTTTTGATATAATAGCATTTATCAAAAAGCTAGAGTTTTGGGAACAAAACCTAATTAACAGCGATGCCAAGCATTTTCCTATTCTTTCAGAAAAAATATCTCAAAACCCTATGATAGCAAATATCATGTAGAAATAGTTTCTACCCTGAAGAATAACTTCAAAAATCGTTTTAAGGATTTTAACGAAATGGCTTTAGTAGCGCAGTTTGTTGTTTCACCCTTTATGGAAATTGATATCCAACAGTTTGCAACTTGTGTTATGCAGAACTTTGGCGAAGACATCGCTGCAACAGAAATAGAAGTAATTGAGTTTCAAAATGATTTAGCCTTAAAATCGTTAGTCTCAAGTACCAAATGTATCTGGCCTATTGTGAGTAAAGACAAATATTCAGTTCTATGCTGTGTTGCCTTGAAAGTGAAAGCATTATTCAGTTCAACCTATTTGTGTGAATCTTCTTTTTCCAATATGAAGTTTATTAAGAACAAATATCGCAATCGACTTACAGATGAACATTTGGATAATTTTATTCGAATGGCTGTATCAAATAATACTGCAAACATTAAAAATATTATCGATGAGTCTGAGTGTTAGCCTTTTCATTGAACGTGCTTTTTTTATTTTTCAATGTTTATGTTCATGATAGTGCGTTACTTTTTTGTTGTTGTTATTATTAACTATTTTTAAATCTTACGTGACATGCCATTGTGGCTGAATAAAAGTTTGTGTTTATTTTTCAAACACCTTCGTTTGGTAGGTAGGAATGTAGCTATGAACAAGTACGTACTAGTAATATTAGTTATTTTGTTATTAGTTCATTATTAGTGCCTATGTATTATGTATTACCAGTTAAATAGTAAAATAAATACATATCATGATAAATTAACTGTGGATTATTTCATTTACGTTGCGTTACGTGGCTTCCGTGTGGGTAGCTCGCAGTTTATTCCAAAATTAACAAAGTAGCTCAACACATTAAGAGGTTGGCGACCACTGCACTAGATCAACGACATACCCCAGGATAATTTTTGTGAATCCTAAGCTGTCCATCCATGATCAAGTTCTACAAGAGTAGATACAGAACTCCTCTCTGTGAGCATCGCCTTGCAACCTTGGCTGCTATCATCTTTCCCCTAATGGGTGCAATAATCATTGTTTCTTTTAGCATAGAGTCAATTCAGGTCATTTCTTTTCTTATTTAACATTATAATTATTCTTACGACCTTCATTTTTTCGTCACTACCAACTGTTACCGTATTATTTCCTTATTGACTAAGGTTCGATCGTTTTGTCCAAGTTCATTACCAATTTTGTTTTAGTTGCCCCAAGAAGATCCTCAACTAAAACCAGTGATGGTTTACATCCATGGAGGACAATTCTTGAGAGGATCTAACAATGTAGGTCCTGACTATCTTCTGAAAGAAGATATAGTATTAGTATCAATCAACTACCGTCTAGGATTACTAGGTTTCTTGGTACTAAACGATACATCTTTAAACGTACCTGGAAACGCAGGATTAAAGGACCAAATCCTCGCTTTAAAATGGGTCAAAAAGAATATAAAGGCCTTCAACGGAGATCCCGATAGAATCACGATCTTTGGAATAAGCGCTGGTGCAGTTTCTATTGATTTTATACTGTTGTCACCCTTAGCCAAAAATCTGTTTCATGGTGCCATAATCCAAAGTGGATCCGTTGTAAACCCGTGGGCTATTGGAACTTTTGATCCGGTTGATTTCTGTAGATATCTGGGACAAAATAATTTATCGGAAAAAGAGATTTTTGAATTGTTTACAAACCTGCCAGCTGAGCAGATGATTTATGAACAGGATAAATATCTGGAGGTATTTTTTTCTAGTTTGTATACATTAATATTCCTTTACTGTGTATTTTAGGACGAAACACTCGGTGTTATTGGCCCAGTGATAGAAAAACCAAGCGATACGGCCTTTATAACAAAACACCCAATTGAAATAATTCGTTCAGGACAATACAATTCGGTCCCAGTGATCCAGGGCTACAACAGCAATGAAGGAATTTACTTTGATATGCTCCTTAACATCTTGAAGGTATCTGAAAAACACAAATACAGACGAAATAAAATTATCGATAAAGTAATGCGAGATAACAGCATAGAAGATGACGATATTTTATTGCCACTTGATAAAATGCTACCGTATGAGACTGAGTTTAATGATCCCAAACAGTTAGAAGCTATTTTGAAGAAATTATTCGGTTATTATTTTAAAGAAAAAAATAAAGAAAACAGCATACGCGTAAGTTAATTTTTATTTTCCCACACCTTCTTCCTCCTCTTATTTATATTGTCCCTCTTCTTCGTTTTCTTCCTTTCAACCTCTTTCTAGTTTACAACTTTTTTCCATTAATGTTTTTTCTATTTTTCATCTTCTTTTTTTTATCTCTAAGTCTTTCTTTCGACGTATTTTTAATAATATATATTTATATTTTTAATTTTTATGTTTATTGATGATATTTATTTGTTACAGCTAAGTACAGATGCAATGTTTGTTATCGGTATCATTACATCAGCAATCAATAAAGCCAAAACTTCAAAATATCCGGTATATTTATATAGATTTTCCTTAATAACGAAACTCAATAAACATAAATCAAATAAATACCATGGTATGTAACTTTATATTGGCTAGATGGAAGCTAAACTGGTCCAAGTTACATTTGATTGCAATAGAGATAATGACATATTTATATTCAGCTAGTGTCAATGTGTCGGTGCTAAAGAGATATATCCAATGACATATATAGATTAATAGACTGCTCATCCATATATAAACAAGACGACGAAAAGCGGGTCATATTGCTTGGCTTGCCGAGTGCTCACCAGGCAGAATCGGTCTGGCCCAAATGAGTTTAAAACACATATTTCATCAAAGTAGGAATTGAATTAAAAAAAAAATATCTGTATGTTTATTTCAAGACAGGAGCTTGCGTTAGGTATTTTAAAAAAGGATTTTGAGTCGTAACGTCTAGTTTCCCAATTTTCAAAACATTTTAAGAGATCTAACCAATTTTGAACATAGATATAAACAATTTTACACTCTATATATCTATCATTTTACACCGTATATAACTAACTTTAGACCATGACTACTGTATAGTGGCACTATTCGGACACTTGATTATTCTTTTAAAATTTATTTCGCATTATAAAAGCAGATATTATGTAAAAATTGAATGAACTTTTTAAAGATTTAAAGTTAGTAGCTTTTTCACATTCTAAAGTTTGTCCCTTTAGACAATTAAGGATTATTTTGGCGGTGAATGTGAATGATTTGATGAATAATAATAATAAAATTCCACCAGTGGAAATCTGATCAACATCATAGTAAAATGGACTAGGTACAAAGTGCAATCTTAGTTGACGTCAAGATCCGTGTACCTTGGCATCGGTAAGAGGGAAATAAATATTCTGACTTACAATCACAAAAAGAACGTATAACTAAGCTTAGTCGATGTAAGTTAGCTCAGATTAGTGTTAAAAAGAAAGCGACTATTAATAAAAAGAAAAGTAATCCAGCTAAAACAAGAATTATGGCTACTGTCTTTAATAATGATATGTTGCCAGTACTAGTAGAATGTTAAGTGTTGAGTTATCTTCTTCAGGCAATGGATGTACGTATGCATAATTTAAAATGTTTGGTTAATTATTATTATTATTATTATTATTATTATTATTATTATTATTATTATTATTATTATTATTATTATTATTATGTTTAATGTGTTTTTGTAGTTAATGAACATATATCTACTACTGAAGCAGATAATGAAGATTTGTGTGCTGCTGAATAGCTTTGCTTAGTTCACAAAACTTTGTTTAAAAGCACAAGTGAAGAGTGGTGATTTAGTTGATCCGTTTTCAAACAGAATTGTTAGTGCTAAAGAACTATCTACTTTAATAGGATTGCAATCCTTCCAGTTATTAGCCACCATTGTGGAATTAGTAGCAGAGTTATTTCTAAAGAATAGGAAAAAGGAGATCAGTTATATCTGTAAAGGATCAAGTTATATTTACTTTTATGAAGTTGAAAACTGATATGCAAGATATAATGTCTTATTCATTTTATTTGGAGTGAATGAAACTTTTTATCGTTAAATTTTTTAACAGTTTTTAATAAAACTGGTAGAAGTTCTTAGTATGGTATAATTCGGCCTTCAAAACAAGAAATATTAAATAATGTGTCTCTATGTAAGTAAGAGTACTACTACTTGATTGTACCGAAATCCCAATACAGCAAGCCAAATGTCTTTGTTGTAGGCTCAAAAATTACTCTGACTACAAAAAGAGGCATACTATTAAAATATTGACTGGAGTGTCACCTACTGGCCTCATTACTTACAAAAGTGAAGCATATGGTGGTAAACTTCAGAAATAGACATTTTTTAACAAAGTTCAATACTTGAAGTGTGTGAATCATTTCTCGATAGTAAAATGTTTAACAAAGGTTTTCTTATTGGAAACATAACAGAAGCTGAAGGTATACAAATTATACAGCCTCCTTTCCTCAATAAAAAAAATCAGTTCAGCCATCAAGAGGCTTTACTTAATGCCAAAATTGCCAGAGCTAGAATTCACATAGAAAGAACCTATCAAAGAATAAAAGTGTTTGTCTCTCTGTATTGGTACTTATGTCCGTTTTTCTTCTATTTATATTGAGTTTTTATTATACGATACTTCTCTGTATCTAACTAACTTTTAAAATGTACTTACTTGTAAAGCCCAGATAGCTCTAACTCGGGCCTTTGAATATAATAATATTTATGTAATTGTATTTACAATAAATACTTTATTATTATTAATAATATTATTACAATTAATTATAATTCGTAAAATTATTATAAACGTATTTACCTTGTACCTACTTGTATTGATACTTGCGTGAAAAATGAAATGTTACTTTTTATATTTCTGTAGCTGGTCTTACAAACCTTTATAGAGCAATTCACCATTTAAATTTAAAAACAAAACAAGTTTTTATACTCAAATAATTAAAAAACTTAAAACAGAACATAAGTATAATTAAAACTAAATAAAATAAACAATTCAACAAAATGTCCGACTGAGTAATGACAATGAGAACAAAATCTCAACTAGACTAAACTTTCTTTAAAACCGGTCCTGTGAAAGGTTTGTTTACCAGTGAGCACTCAAAATTGAGACAAAACACAAACATTGCATGAACTAGACAAAGAGAAAACATCTCCCAGTTCGACCCACTTTTCATCGTTTTATTTACGTATGGATAAGCAGTCTATTTAAACTATATATGTCATTGGATATATCTCGAGATATATGTCACATTATCACTTTAACATAAGGAGAACCTCATTCTGCCACTTTAGCTTTGATACAAACGTAAAAATGTCTTACTTTTTCTCCAAAATGTTATTTTGCTCTTTGGACCAGTTTAGCTCCCACCTAGTCTATTAATCTAAATCGTCTATATTTACGTTCTGTTTAATTATTAGGGGCTTGCCATGGAGATGATAAACATTACCTATTTCCAACTTTAGAAATATCTATAGGAGAAGATGAAAAAATTGGTATACATCGAATGGTGAAGTTGTGGACCAACTTTGCAAAGTACGGTAACCCCACACCTAACGTAAATTATGATTTAAAAGTTAATTGGAAACCGATACAAAATAATACGGTATACTTTTTGGATATTGATAAAGAATTAGAGTTAAATTGTAATCCGGAAAAAGACAGAACAGCTTTATGGAAAGAAATATATAATATAAATCCTAAAACAAGGAATTATTTGTAATATATAATGTATTTTTTTATAAATGTTAGTTTTTTTTACATTAGTGAATTATTATTTATTGTATTTTATGTAAAGGGTTTTTTCAATATTTATCACTGCATAGAAGTGCATAGAATGGCCCTAGCTACCACATAACGTTGCCAAGCCTTTTGGCAATGTTATTTTAAGGGAACGTTACTGCGTTATCTTGACACAACGTAATAATATAATTTGCTATAAAATGAATCCGCGAGAACTACTAGAAATTAAATTAGCTGCATTTTACGGCGTATGTGCAGTTCCATTAAACCAAAGCGTGACAACAGTCAATCATGAGAAAATTCTACATTTACCAGGATTCAAATGCAAATAATTTTTAGTACACCATAGCACTAATTTAGCTAAACAACTTTGTAAAGCTGTGCAATCAACAAAGGTCCGTATTTCAGCAAAAATTTTTAAATCATCAGCATACATTAAGTATTTTACTTCTGTGCTTTTGCCAATAATGGCATCAATAAAAATGAAAAGAAGGGGCCCATGGACCGAACACTGCGGAACACCTGAAATTTGCTTGAAATGGTTTGATCTAAATCCTTGATATTGCACGTACTGACGTCTATTTTCTAAGTAAGAAGCGATAAGTAAAAGCAGAAGATCAGATAGTCCCTTAGACTTTAATTTTTATAATAGGATTTGATGATCAATTCTATCGAATGCCTTAGAAAAGTCGGTATAGATAACATTTACTTGACTTCTTCTATCTAAAGCCTCTGCCAAAAATTGTGTTTTACACACAAGATTCGACACAGTGGATCTACCCTTCATAAATCCATGTTGGTATTGCGATAATGAACCCGAAAGATGTCTAGATAAGTCATGGAGATATAATACTAATGGAGATGCCATGAAGCAATTGTTTTGCATATGATACGTTTTATTAAAAATGACCCCACTGGGCGTGGCTTAAATGGTTGACTAAGCAGGGTCGTATTCAAATATAATTAAAGTCCATATGCAGAAATACAAGTTTTGAATGACTTATTTACCTAAGATTTGTTTCAACATGATCGATTCGAAATTAATTTGATGACATTGCGCAATTATGACTTCTTCACTATTTACTATTATTTATTAACCGTTTTCCGACCAAGCCAATGCCAAGACCATAAAAGAGATTAATATTATTATATTGTTCTGTCTTCGCCGAAACCGTCCGATAGACCTGTGTGATCGAAAATCAACGTTCGAATAACACTGTGCATAAGATTTGTTAATCTCTTTTTGCTTTAAAACTAAAACCCGAACTACGATTTTTCGTTCAAGGACTCTCTTGTCTTGATCAAAGCTGCCAATGTCAAAAATCTGACAATGAGGAGAATTATGACATCAAACCAAAAACCAAACCACTACGTGAATTGTGAATAAATATATTTCAGTAAAAATACAGCCGAGTTTGTAGAAAGGACAATTAATTACTTTTAAATGTAAAACATGTAGGTCTTTCTGCTGCAGATGACATACATTAAAAATATGACCCGCTACAGTCAAAAGTTTAAAAAAAAACAAAAATTCAGCTAGGTATGACTTTATGGTTAAAAGTAGATGGAAGAAAACCATGATCAAAACTACTCTGTCAAAACCAATCGGAACTAAAAAGATACAGATAATAGTTGTTGGTTTTAATTATGTTTGAAATAATTAATTATATAAGGTAGGTGCATATATTACTAAAATTGCAAGCAAGTACTTACTAAAGATTTCTATAATTGGTACCTATGTATAATAAACAACAATGTCACAGATGCACAGCATACAACTATACAAATGGAATTATAGAGATAATTTATTTTAAAAATAGGCATTCAGTTGCGATTTGTGATTACAAAAAGAAAACTTTAACCACTTTTTCTGATCAGTAATGTTAGTGTTATAGTGAAAAAGTTTCTAGAAACTGGTGTTTTTAATCCTAATAAAGCATTTTGAATTACCAAGAAAAGTGCATGATGAAAATTGTTTTGACCAAAATTTTGAATGTCATGCCATTTAAAAAGAAACCCTGTGGCTGTGGATAACATTTGACACAAAATCTTATCCTAAAAATAACTGTTTGGTTGCATTGGAGGAATAATTTCTTCATTGGTACTTTTTTAGGGTGCAAGGATGACTTGACATTACTAAATTTAAACCTTTGTTATAAGTTGTCTTTTTGCTTTAATTTCTGATACACCTGTATTGTACATACTTGAAAAATATAAAATTGTTCAAGTGGGAAGTTTATATACAAGGTGTCTCATTGAGAAAGGGATACAGAACAACTGAAGAGTCTGATTAAAAATAAGACTATGCTTAGAATGCGAATATTCTTCATTTTAATTTTGAAGTTCCTTATAAGTTCCCAACAAAAGTACCTATATGATTTACTTAAAAAACATCAAAAAATATATAATTATAGTTCAAATAAGTGTAACGTATTTTATGACACCAAAAACTTTTGCCAAATTTGGTAAAATTATAGGTAACTCTTCAGTTTTTCTGTGTTCCATTCTTAATAAGACACTACAAAAAAAAATTTTATTATTTAAAAAAATATTTATTGACCTTTAAACAACACTATTTTGTTGTTTTGATGTCTTATGCTAGCAGCTTTATTAACTCTAGTTTTAGTGAGATATGTTAGTCGGATACTAACATATTTATCAACTATGCACTTGATTAATAATATTCTATGATTATCCAACACAAACTGGTCCAAACTGTGCTGCATAATAATATTCGAAAATGTTATAAAACCTTAAATATAGATCCATGATACAAAAACTACTAGTTTAAGTTCCAAAACTACTAATTTTTAAATATCATTAACTTCGTAATATGTTTTAAATTATATTTATTGTGTATTGTGAACAAAGTCGGCAGGTTTTTAAATTAAGGAACATCAATTTAATGTTTGTTCATTTAATATTAATAATAATTGTAATGTGGTACTTGAGCGGTACATACAGGGTTACCAACCGTCCGTCATTATGACGGACAGTCCAGCATTTAAATAGTGTGTCCATCAGTCCGTCAAAGCATAGTTAATGACCGTCCAGGTCGCCCAGAATATTTGCTCTGCTGTATGATGTGCTGTGAACGGAGTGCGTTTGTGTTTATTAATATTGACTTTTAAAATGGGTGATTCCCCAAACAGTGATACACATAAAAAGAAAACCCTAAACGACTTTGTTATTTTTATTTTTTTTTTTTTGTTCAGTTTATTTTTGTTTCTTTTTACTGTTTGAAATTTGTGACATAGATATTCTTTTTTTGTACCTTGAATACTTTGCCATTACTTAATTATTTGTAAAAACAGTTCAAACTATCTTCACCAAAATTAGGTACGGATTTCTTAAAAAATAAGTAATTTTGATTAATAGAATGAAAATGGACTGAGTTGTTTTTATTTTATTTCCCTTAAAATCCCCTCTCTGTCCGTCATATCTATTTCAAAAACCTGGTAACCCTGGGTACATAGCAGTGAGTGATGGCCACAAATCTAATTAAATAATGAAAATACATCACTAGTATTTATTATTATACAGTATATTCATTATCAACATGGTATAATAATAGGAAATTAGGATCTAATAAAAACTGCTTTTAAATACTTAAAATTTTATTCTAAATTATGTGTTACTTAAAAAGTTAGTCATTTAAGTGTAATTATAAGTTGGTTTATAAGTTTAATTATAAGTTGGTTTTTAAGTTTAATTATAGTTGGTTTTTAAGTTTAATTTTAAAGTTAGTTATTAAGTTTTATTATAGTTATCTAAGTTTTAATATACTTATTTGTCTTTATTATAAAGTTAGTCAAGCCAATGTTCTTTATTAAGTTAGTTATTTAAGTTTTATTGTAAATAAAATGTATACTAACTAAACATTCATTTATTGCCGGAACAGCATTCTTCTTCAATCTGACCCTAAACTCACTCTTATCAAAAAATTCTTCCTTAAAGTGAATAGAGCACAACATGCTATTCGGTTTAGGCTCAAATTGGTCTTTTCCCACAAATTTAGACCAAATTTTGAGATATTGTGGGTCTTTTGGAAACCTATAATAAAGAAAGTTAAGCATTCTAAAAAAAATTCTAAGTACACTCCTTATACTTACTTATGAAAACTTAAATTACGCTCTTTCACTGAAGAATTTTTACAATTAATTTTGGCACATTTAGTCATGATTTTTATACAAATTAATCAAAAAAAAAAAACACTTATTAAGATAGAAATAACGTCGAAATATTTAAATTTGAACAAAGTTCTGACAGCTCTTTGACAACTATGACATGACCACTAAGAGAGGGGGAAGGGGTGTCGTTTTTTTTTGACATGTCATCTCCATAGTATTCAACCTCATTGAGATAAGTATGTATGAATAATGATTTCAAATACTTTGGAGAAATTACAAAATATGCTAACAGGTCTATAGTTAGTTGTCAAGATCATCTTTGGTTCCCTTTCTATAAACTGGTGTAACGCGAGATAATTTCCATAGATCAGGAAACGTGGCTGTTTTCAATATTAAATTAAAAATAGTACACAGTGGGGTTGAAAGAATGTGTGCGCAATCTTTAATGAAGAAGAAAGGAATATAATCAGGTCCCATTGTCATTTTTGGCTTTAATCTTTTTATAGCGTCTACCACTTCTTTATCAGATACATGATTTATAGATAAAATAGGTAAATTAACAGAAGTTGATTGAACAGATGCGATAGTACGTGTTGGTAATGTAAAATTGTTTGAAAAATGCTTTGCAAATGCCTGCACAATATCTAATGGATTATCCAATACATCATTATTAATTTGTACTGAAGATGGAAAACTTGAGAAGTTCTTAAAAGAGTTTACGTATGTCCAAAATTTCTGATGGTTTTCCTAAATATTATTTTCAATTCTTTCAGCATATTGAGAATGTGCAAGCTTAACTTGTCTATTAACATTGGTACGTGCGGATTTGAATGTATTTAAAGCCTCAAGAGAACATTTTGATAATAGACCCATTAAACCATATACATTTTATTACTAGCTTTCTTTTTTGGAACATGTCCTGAAAATAATTCATATAGTTTTTCATTTAGTTTTTTTACACCGTCATTCACATTATTTAAAAATTTCCAATCGATAGATTGGAGGTCAAAGTAGAGAATCACGTAATTGGCTTTTTTAAAATTAAATTCTACTGAAGAAGAATTATTAGTTACATCATTTATTTTTTTATATTGTGATATATTGTGATAGTCGTCTTCTTCTACAATAGTTTCCTCCGATCTTACAACTTCACATTGGTCGTTAAAAAAAATGAGGTCTAACATGCGACCAAATTTATTTTTAACCTGATTTAATTGTGGTAACTCGAAGAAATTTGCAAAATTCATAACAGCATTCAGTCTGGTAGAAAAACTAGGACTTATAATCTGAGTTAAAACATTAGTTAAAAGCTAATTCAAATTTATATATTGCGACATTTTTAATTTGTTTTCTTATAAATATTATAAACCAAGATTATTCTACATATTTAGACACACCCTGTATTAATTTATTAAGGTTTAATCAGTTTAAATGATAAAAATACCTTTATATTTAAACCATCAAGCACACACAACTTTTTCATATAAAAATTAAAAAAAAAACTGATATTGGTGGAATAAACGAAAATGGCGTCTCTTTATTTGTTAGTCAACTTAATAGCTATAGTGATGTCAGGGGAAATTAATAATCGCGTGGAAGATTTACCATTTAATTTCCTGGAACGAAAAGATGAAAAAAATAGTAACGATGGCGAAACAGAAAATGAGAAAAAACAAGATGATTCTAAAAAAGAAAAACCGGTAAAAAACATTGAAAAATATCATATGAATTATTTACACTAAATTTTTGTTTTATATTCCGTAGTGGTTAAGCTGCGACATCTGCAAAGTAACAGTTACCAGTGCGAAGATTTTCCAGAGACATCTGGATGGAAGAAAACACAAATTAAGGGTTGAACGTGAAGGGAAGGAATTTAAATGCGATTTATGTGATATATCTACTAATAGTGAAATTCAACTGGAAATACATTTACGAAGTAAGTTTTTAGTATACATACCTACTAAAGTGTTTCCGAATCAAGAAAAACTTTTGCGTGTCCAAAACTATTTAAAATTAAATAATATATATTTAACAAAATAAAAAAAAAATATATAAATATAACCATTTAACATAACTATCATGTTTACAAAACAAGACACACTGAGTTGCTATAGCAAAGCAAGCAATTTGTGTTGTTACTAAGGTATTCGACTTGTAAAAGAAATTCAAAACCTAAAGGGCATTGACTTAAAAAAAAATTAAATTTATATTACTACAGTGCTACAATATTTTAATTCTTTTATTTTATTATTCTAAATATTTTTTTTTGTTTTTGACTTATCCTATAGTATTTTTAATACAAATCCCCATACACGTCAGGGATCATTTATGACGTCACAGTCTTGCAGTGTTGTCTATTTGTCAGAATAGTTGAGGAATTGTAAGATTATGTATTTGTTTGTTATGTTACTAGTAGGACTTGTTTTAAATGTATATACCTAATGGAAAATATTGAATTCTTTTATACATAATAAACATCTTGCAAGTCATGGAAAATAAAACTGTAAGGTAGTATATTGCAGATGAATAAAAATTGGCCCAGAATTGGCATAAAAAATATCTGAAACTAATTTAATTTCACCAAAAAAGTTATATAACAACTAATTTTAAGTTATAAACCCCAACACCCCATATTTTGATAAATTAGAGCCTTTCCAATGACACTGAGTAGATGTTACAGATGGTTCTTCACTTCTTCTATGAAGCCACAGCAAAAAAGCTACATGTTTACAACCACCTGAAAAAAATAAAAGAGGTAGATATGCAGTTACAAAATAAATATATAACCAACTACAAAATGCCTTATTTTATGTAACAAGACGATCAGAGCTTTACTAGCTCTAAACGAATCCGGTAGAACCTCGGATTTTCAAAACTTAAAAAAAAAACAATCACCACATTTTCACATTTTTGAAATATTATAGAGCTTTTCGAAAAAAACTGCTATTTTTAAAAGTACAATTTTATTTTTTTTAAATAGATATGTCTCATTTTAGGCTATTCTTAGGTTATTGAGTATTATAAAATAAAAAATTACGAGATGCTTTGTTAGCTTTAAACGAATCCAGCAGAGCACTCCAGTTTTTTTTTTAACCACACCACGTTTTTTGGCTCCTAAAATATTGAAAATTTGGCATTTTTAAAAAAATTCGCAATTTCTTGATGACTTTAAAGTTTTTTTTCTGAAAACAAATATACTTACCACATTTTTAGGATTTTAAAATAGCCTAACCATGTGTCATAAGTAGTTGTTTTTATATATATAAAAAAAATTGAAAAACTGAAGTGTCCTGCTGACTTTGTTCCAACAAAGCACCCTGTATTATTTAAAAATAGCAATTTTTTTAGTGAAGTTTTACAATATTTCAAGAGTCTAAAAATATCCTAAAAATGGGGTGTGGTTTTTAGAAAAAAGCTTTAAAAAACCGAATTGCTCTGCTGGCTTCTTTCGAAGGTTTTTTTTTTCTCTCCTGGGCTTGTCTGACTATGTGTCTCCGAATAACACTGAAGCCTATTGGCTTATTGTGTTTTACCCCATGTTAGTTCATAACACCCACTCTATCACCTTTGTACCTTTCGAAGGTTAGGTTAGGTTACCATGTTTTTTTTTTTTTAATATAATTTTCGTTTTTTTTTTTTTTTTAAAAATGATAATACTTCAAGTGCATTAAAATATGGTGTTGCTATAAAACAGAGGTGCTCTGTTGACTTTGTTCGAAGCTATCAGAGCATTTTGAGTTTTGCAGAAAACGAGGAGCATAAAATTTTTGAAAAGGGTATAAAAATAGCCTAAAAATATGGCATGTTTTAACTCAAAATTTCATAAGTGCTCTGCAGCATTCTTTAGTATCATAATTATTACTATCACTAAAAAAATCTATTTCTAGATCATTTTAACACTTGCTGCGATTACAAAAAATGTCTCTTTATTATGTCAATATTAGAAAAAAATATTTATAGGAATAAAGGGCCTTATACACTGTTTAACAAAAAAGCATAATAAATATTACAAACCTTGAGATGCAGCATATCCTAAGCATTGTGCACTAAAAATTTCATTTTTGTTAATTAGAACAACCACATCATAATGTTTTTGTCGTACTTTATGTTTAGGTGTAATTTGTCCGTTTACTGTGCAAGTATCTCCTTCTCTCTTAAGTTGTACATGGAAAAAGGCATTATCTCCATATTCTTGCTTGGCAGATCTAAAAATAAAACATTATTTAATAAAGTGATTAATTTTTTTGTATTTTCAAGAGCCCTACTCTAAACATTTGGCCTAATTATCTGATATTTTTACTAATTTTTAATATTTTTCTGTGTTCCAAATTATTTCATAAAATATAAACATATTTGTGTTCTTATTGTCTCAATTTAGAAATATTATCATAGATTTATTCATGTAAACATTAGAGATGTGTACAATAAATATAAAAGAGTGTATGTACCATTACAAAAAGTAGTTATGTTATTTGGTTTTAATTTTTGAGGTAAACATGATATATTTTAATGTTTAACAATCTATAAGAGTCCTGTTTTCGATAATCTAAATTTAAGCAAAAACAACTAAGGATCAAAATGTATAAACTCGCTTTATACAATAACAAATTTGCTATTTCTCAGGTACTTAATACGTAATTATGTTTTTACTTCTAATTACTGAAATAATTTAATATCTACCGGTAGCAAATCTTTAAATGTCCCTCTCTCTACTTCATATCCTTTCAGTTTCTAGTGTTATATTTTTGGATATCAGTGTAGACTAATATTTTATGGAAAAAATATTTTTTTCTTATACATATAAATGAGGGTATTCCAAAATATAACTGGGTGGTAAAAGGTATATTTTTGAAAAAATCCTAATGGCCTGAGATAAATATTTTTTTTGCTGTAAGGTGTATTACCCCATATAAACTGTAACTACTATTAAAACAAATTATAAATAAAGTTTTACATACCTTTCTTTCTCTCTTAACCGGCTTTAACTTTGGCACTTATAAACTGAGTATTGTTAAAAAATGCAGTAGTCATATCTTGGTTTGCAATGGGTAAAACACTTGATTCAGCTTTTATAAATCCAGCTGACAAACTCATATTAATAATAAAATTAAACCAATTAGCAAATACATAAGAAATAACAACAACGAATGTTAGGTTAGGTGGTCTAGGTGGTGTCAATTTTAAGTGTCACTAAGATGTGCATTCATTTTGACATTCTATGTGTCGGTTTGTTCACTGGGTTGGTTTTGTATAACAAAAAACTTCGACACAAGTTGATTGGTCTATTCCCGATGACGTATACATTTCAAATTTTAAATTTCAATTGGATTTAATTTAAAAACTTTTGGCTTTTTTAACGAACTGATTATTTAGAACTATTACAATATAATTTATAAAACAGCATATCTCACATGTGAACATGTACCATTGTATAAATTGTTTTTAAGATTATATGATTTGATTATTTACAATTTCACCTAGTTTATCAATCATTAGTCATATCTGTCATTAAGAAATTTATATAGCTCTATTTTTTCAAATTACAGGGGAAAAGATTATATCACAGACCTTTTATATAGTGTTTCTTTCTATTTAATCTCTTATCAAAAATCATGAAGTCAACTTGTAAACATAACATAAAAACCAACCTTAATCAGTGAAATTTTTAAACATTTTTTTTTTAATTTCAGGTTTAAGACATAAGGCAAAATTACAGAAAAAGGAACACCCACGTTTGGCCACTTTTAATTTTTTCACATCCAAAATATCCTTGCTCATATTTGTTACTTTCATTTGTATAGTTTTAAATCTGTTTTTGTTGTGTATATTTTTCTTCTCATAAGAAAATTATTTTGAAGATGTTTTAAAATTACTCATTTGTCATGTATAATGTGTTATTCAGTGAGTAAGATAATGATAAGAAAATTAATATTAATTACCACCTATTTCTTTAAACGCAATCTTTACTTTTATTTTGATCCCTTTAACTTTTACTCTTATTGTAAACATACAAAAATGTAGTTTGGTGTTCCTACTGATATGTTTTTTTATATTAAATATATTTTTAATAACAATATACTTCATTTTATTATTTTATAGTGATAGGAATTTAAAAATTATATATATTTTTCCAGCATATTTCCTTTTGTTGTACCTAAAATTAATGATACTAGTTAAGAATAATAGGTAGAAATATACTTTTAATAATTTAAAATTTTGTACACATTAAATTTTTATAATCTTATTTAAAGAAAATAATGCAATTTTGTTTCATCTTTTTAATACCAAATACTAATTTTTATAATTATTTTTGAATTAATTAAAATTTAATATTTGACTCATGATTTTTTAAATAGATTATAAATAACTGTACAAAATTGGGTAAAATAAAATTTGTACCATACTCAAATTTTTCGAAAATGAATATTATTTGATAGAATTTTCTATATGGCTCAAGATCTGTAAAAAAACACGAAATAAAAACTATTCTCAAAACTTAACTATTTTATTTAAAACAAATTTTGATAAATAATTCTTTTTACAATAATTAATTAATTCCCAATTTACTTATGGAAGATTGAGAATTAAATCAAAACTTCCTGAGTATATCATATGTACACGAAAACCTTTTTTTTTACATAAAAATAAGTGTGCATTGGTAAGTTGTGTTCCATTTTTTATGAAAGTTTTAATCCATATATTAAACCAAAATCTTTATTCTAAATATCACATTTGTTTTTGTGTGGCAGTTTTTTGGTTATATTTACATCTAGTAAGATATTTTGTGATGTTATAATGTTTCTATTTTATCAGGTAATTAAAATTTCTGAGCTGCTTGGTAAAAAAATAAAATATAATAAATAAATATCTTTTGCTAATAGTACTTCGATAAACTTAGGTAAGTGACTGGAGGTATTATTTTAAAACGAAAAATGTTATTGAATGTATTTTTGAAATGAATTCTGAACAAATTACAATTTTTGATATTTTTAATAATCATTAAAACATTATTGGGAAAATAACTTCTTAGAATTTAGTAGTATCCTTAATTTTTCTGTACCTATACCCAATAACGAAGGAATTTACAGATTATAGGTACATCTTTTATTAAAAAATTATTTTTAAATTATATATACAAATTTGAATCCTCTTTATCCTTGCAATGAAAAAAATCTTACATACTGCTGTAAGAAAATGGAATACAATCTTCCAATAAACAATTATTTTTTGTTTTCATTTAATAACAATTTACACTCCGCCTCCACTGCGCTCTACAGATACTTTCTTCTTTAACAAATCTTTTTCTTGCTTAATTTCTTCCAGTTCAGCCATTCTTGCGAATCTTGAATAAGCGACGTGTCCAGATTTTATAGCGGACATCATCTGTTAAAAAAAATATATATATATAAATTTTTTGGATGTGTAAAGGTAGGTACATTTTAATTTCTCATGGTGTGTCTACCTTTATTTCTAGATAAAAAGCTACTACAAAAATATTTCTAAATAGTAGGTATTATAGTCCAGTAAAGGAAGGACTGAAAAGATCGAAAGCTGTAAAAAAATCGCTGATGAGTTCCGACATAGCCCAATTTGTAGAGAATCAAAGGTGTTTTTAAATGAGAAAATCCTTAACGCGTTCTTAGTACCGGAAGGGGCTGAAAAAGGACCCCTAAACTCTGAAAAAACGGGTTTTCTCCTAATATCTGGCTAAATATGCTAATTAGAGAATTTTTGTTCAGACAAAAAATGAAGATCAGCTCATTCTCTACAAAAATGAATTGATATGGTAGTTTCTTGCCGAATTTCCGCTAGATGGGGTTGGAAATGCATTGATCTTCATCTTTTGGATTTTAGAGACCAATTGCAGATGGCGCCAGCATCTTTCCTCTTCTCGCTAAATTACGGAGTCCGTAATCATTCGGTAATCCATATGAACCATTTTCACTTCACTTCCCTTTTCTTTTTAAACATTACCAATAACCGAATACTATTTTTGTTACTTTCAGATCATGTAACTGGTTAATAATAATAAATACCTCCAATTTTGGTCAACTCTGCCATGGTGTACATTTCTTCCCCAGTTTCCATAATATAAGCAACAATTCTCTCAATCTGTGCTGAAATATCTGAGTTCTTGGGCCGTCCCTTCGGTTTAGCCTTACCAGAAGCTTGTTCAGACAATTGATAGAATACCAGTCGACATACTTCATGATATATTGCACCAACAACTGTGAGGTCGATCCCAGAAATTATTTCTAGCGTCGCTTCATACTTTCCTATATCAATATGAGCTGTGTTCTGATTCAGAAGTGTGGTCTTGAATTCTTTGTTCGAAACAAGTACAATGGTACGCTTCTTTACCAAAATGCTCTTTCTTTTCTCCTTTTCTATCGAAGCAGCTAACTGACAACAATTGTTTTTGAAGTCAAAGTCACTATGGGAGCGCTTCTTTTGTCTCTTCGGGCTCGTTAAATGGTCCAACCGTCTTGAAGAATGCTTGTCAAACTCGTTGTACGCGAACTTGCCTCGAGATTTAATAATATAGCGACCCCTACACTTGTTGTGCATTCGTACAGAGGATTGTTTCTGGAGAAATAGGTGGAAATTATCGCATCTCTCCTTGCTCACTCGAATCAAATTTTCTAAACCACGAGTAACATTTACACTGTCATTCACAACACCCTCCTTACAAAGAAAGCATTCTGGAACGGAACCCGCTTCCATTTCAACAACACCAAGAGCTACCAAAAAATTAGAATAGTTGTGTTATAAAGTAAATATGTGTTTAAATAAATTATTAATAAATAAACTGTTGTTTTAAAGTAAACAAACATCACAATATTCTTTCTTGTAGACAAGAATAACGTGGAAATTTTTCACTGTTTGTGTGTAAATGTAATGTCTTGGATGACGAATTGAAATGACTGTTTTTACTTGCAACTTGTTTTATTTAATAGATGTTTTACAACTAGCTAGCTTGAAACGTGGACTGTACTCATTGTGTGCTGTTACACAACTGACGCAATGTCTTTCTTTCTCTTTCTCGCGGGGTTATCGTGGCACAAAACAGGGTTGCCACGTTTATCTTAAATAACAATTTATAGGTACAAAATAAAAACTGAACACTCACTTTAAACACTTCTCCTTTTTTTTATAACTGAATTAATTTATTGAAAAATATTTATTTTATTTTAAATAAATAATGAAAAAATATTAGTACATCAATAATCCGGTCAAGCCGACGACTCCAAAACAGAGATTGTATACAAACACATGCAGACAACTATCGCCGCGTGGGTACACGAGGTTAGGTTATATACAATATCATGGATCTCAGAGGGGGAGCGTAAAAATGAAGTATATAATTGTAACAACCTTTTTAAAACCAAGAACGGATATGGGGATTGACTTATATCAATGGAAATGTCAGAATACAAGCTTTACTTTGATCTAGTTATTAATCCTCAAAAAATAAAGAGCGAGGAACAAGAAATGGTGTGATCAATTTTCCTCATTCCTTGAAAATTATTAAAATAAAATAAAAAAATATATTCGAAAAGTAGAGATCATTGAAGACCCTCCAAGGTCCCATTATAAAGGCCAAATTAGAATAAATGACTATTTTTAGAGAAAATATGAATAAATTAATGAAGCAGTCTCTAGATATTGTTGAAAAAAACTTTGATCGCTTTTTTAAATATTTTTGGCAAATACGAACTGACCTTAAGTCACATGGAATTGTAGCTATGGGTTTTCCCATTGCGATGAACTTTGAATCATCAAAAAATTTCAATTCGTTCGCCCGCTTACACGTTAATTCATAGAAAGAGGAATTCCTGCAGGTAGAGCAGCAGCTGAAACGAGGGGACTTTTGAGTGCCATTATCTCGAAAACTATTGAATTTTCGAAGAAAATGATAAGGGCCATTTTTGTACATAATGAGCTGATCTTCATTTTTTGTCTGAACAAAAATTCTTTAATTGGCATATTCAGTCAGATATTAGCGGGAAACCCATTTTCCAGGTTTTAGGGGTCCAATTTCAGCCCCTTCCGGTACCAAGAACGCGTTAAGGATTTTCTCGTTTAAAAACACCTGCGATGTCTTACAAATTGAGCTATGTGGGAACTCATCAGCGAATTTTCTACAGGTTTGACCCTTCAGTTACTGGACTGTTAACTGAAAGTAACAAAATTAAAAAATATTTCAAAATACATTTAAATTTTAAAGTTCTTTAAAGTGCAAACACATTAATACTGAAAATGTCGATCACAAAAGAAGAACAGCTATTTTCTTCTTTCATTCATTCTTCAAAAGGCTGTGCATTAGGCTGGGCCAAAATAGGAATATTTTAAAAAAAATATAAAAAGTTTTCACCCCTTTACCGCCTCCTTTAGGGATGAAAAATTAAAATTTTATATTTGGCGTACAATACCTACTGAAAATAACATTTTAGTTTTTATATTTACAGTCTTTATTTTTAAATAACATCTTTAATCCTGTACTATCCCTTTTAACCAATGTTTAATCCTTTTTTTCTTTAAAAGATAAGGTAAAAATTACTTCTACAACAAATAAATATTTCAGGATTAAAATAAACAACACATTTATTTAAAAAATGGTAAAAAGTACCTAAAGAAATCAAACGTAAAAAGCTAACAAATCAAACATAAAAGCGTACATATCAAACATAAAAAAATTGAGTGAGGATTTAGAAGTTACGAGTGGGAATTAAATCGGCCGTAAATGACCACAGAAAAAATACCAGTGATATAGTTGACAACATTGTATCTGCTGGTAATAGACTTGTTCAAAACAGCCACAGTTTATTATTAAACATGACTAATAATGCTGCAGAGACATATAGTTCAATCGTAACCAAATTTGTTGCTAAATCTTACTCAAGCGTGTTGGATAGGCTATAACACAGTACAATAAGAACATTTATTAGAGCAATGAAATCTTCTCTAGTTCAAGAAATTTTAGCTAAAGCTCAAGAACATCCTCTTCACCTAAGACGCAGCTATCTGGCTCATAAATAACGAAATCATTAAATTAAAAATGTTTCATTCTACAAAACCACTGCTCAAAACTATTTGCGATTTATCTGTGGAGAATTGAACAAATAAATACTGGATCTTTAAACAGCAGGAACTTCGCCAAATGCCTATGCACGCTTTCGATCCTTACACTTTTTAAAACATCAAGTGACATCGTTAAAATATAGTAGAAACAAGATCGGACCAAGGTTTACACCTTGAGGAATGCCGGATTATACTCTTGTCTGTATCGGAATTAACTTAATATGTTCATTCGATTATTTTTTACATGTGCAAACTGGTGGCGCACAGTTTAAACATTTGTTATTAATGATTTTCAATATTTGAAGTAAATTTTGTCTATGTTTATTATTATTATTTTAAAATATAGGGAAAATGGTATAGACAAAAGCTATTTATATTTTCTTATTAAATAATGTAGTGCATTTAAAATAGTGTAAAAAAAATTAACCTTGAAATGATCCTAAAAATCACAAGGAAGAGAAGCCTTCTGGGCACTAACCTAAAGATAAGAATGATTCTTTGAATAAAACCACAATTGTAACAAACAATAACTATTTTATTCATTTATTTAACACATTTATAAATTTTAAAAATATGTTGTTATTCAAATAGGTGAGGACCTATATTTTGATACACACGGTTGCATAAAATAACAAAAATTATATTTAAAAAAAGGATTTGGTCTATCAAAATATATTAATATTTAATTTTTATTTAAGAATATATATATTTATATCATAATATATCTAAATATCTTTATTTAATTACAAATAATCTTGAACTGAATATATTTTTAATTTGCCCGTCCATTTTACGTAAAAAAGGATTTGATTTTAAGTATACCTGCATTCTATACATTTTACCGCAATAACTAAAATTTAACTTTTAAGACATTTTGACATACGATTTGGAATATTTAAAATAAAAATAGGGCCCCTGAGTGCTTTAAATGGACTTAATTATCTGAAAAATATATAAATTTCTTTATATTTACGTGAATGGACCAGAAATTAAAAATATATACAATACTGCAGCCTGTTTTGAAATTTTGACAGCTGAATATTTTCATGTAAATTTTGAATAAAGTTGCATTTTTTTAACCTCCAACCCCTCCTTTAGGAAGAGTGGATCGAGGGGTATGCCAACGGCACAAAATATGAATCCAATTTTTTATTTTTGAAAAAAAAACCTACATCTTTTTTTGGTACATTATTTGTACAATATATAAATTATTTATAAAAAGATAATAATTTGTATTTATATTTTTTTCAGGTAAGCTGCTAAAAATTGCTTAAAAAGACAGGTAAGATAAGTAAATATTTTTTCTTATTATCTTTCGAAACAAAATAAAAAATATTTGAAAATTTATATCTAGAACGGACTCCTTTATTTTTGTATTGATTTTGGGAGGAGCACTGTTAAAATTGGTTTAAATTTAAGTATGTTATTTTTCAATAAAATTTTCATATTGACCCCAAGTTTAAAATTCTACAGGGTGACCTGCTAAAAGTAGTCGAAAGTATTCATATTTTTACATATACAGGGTGTTTCATAATATATGCGCAGGACTTGAAAAAACTATGAAAGAACGTTTCTATTAACGTACCCTCTAAAATGCACCATTTTCGAGATACAGGGTGTTGAAATTGAAAAAAAAAGTCTACGCCACTGGAAAAAGTACGGTTTTGAGACGCCCATTTGAACCGCCAATGTTTTCTACACAAAAAAAGGTACTCTTGGTCATACGCTCTAAAGTCGACCGTTTTCGAGAAAAATCAAATTTTAATGTTGAAATACATGGTCAATTTTTGGAAATAAAACAAAATTTGATTTAGGTAAATATAGCCAAATCCACTTGTTTTTTTGGTAATCTATCTGAGGATGAATTTATGACATACCTTTTTGAAACACCCTGTATAATAGATATGAAAATATTAATTCTGTACTCCTTACTTTTACCTCCTTCTGACAGCTCACCCTGTAGAGCTGCAAACTTGGGGTCCACAGGAAATTTATTAAATTTGGACAAATTCTGACATTGTCCAAATCCTTTGACACCTTTTAATGTTTCAATTCACTTTTATGTACATTAAAATTTTGTAATGAATTTTCAGTTTAATTTTTTTTCTAAAATATCACCATTTTGATGTACCTACTTTAATTATCAAAACATACCATAAACTATATCAAAATTTCGGTCCTCACTCTGTACACAAATATATTGTTTTAGGTTTTGATAAATTTTACAGGAATTTTTAATACATTTCTTAAAAATGTATATTATAAATCAGCATCAGGTTTAGGTGAAGACATATCCTTTCGTATTTCTTCCTGTAATCGAATATGGTCTTGCAGGATATCATCGTAGTCGTTCTCATCACCGCCAATGCTTAGCGATATCACCTCTTCTATATCTTTGTTGTAATTTTCGTAGATATCGTTTCTTTGTTCTAGTATCTCCCGAACGATATCACAAAGAATGTCTCTACTACTAACCATCTCCTGCAACTCCGTGGTAACTTCCTTCACTAACCAAGGCATGAACGAATCTTCTAGATCCTGTTTGATGCTGTCCATCAGGAACCCGTCAGATTCTAAACCTTCAAGGACCGATGGAAGCAAATCAGCCATATAACCTTGCATCAACACAGCAGCCGCTATCTTTTCTTCCATTTCTTTCTGACATTTCAGTCCTTCTTCGAGCTCACCGATTCGTCGTTCTTTTTCTACGACCAAACGTTTCTCTCTTTCTTCTAATCTGATAGCTTCGGCAGTTTCGACAGACCTCCTCTCTAAGAATTTCCTTTGCTGTTCTCTAAGTGCTGCTAATTCTTCCTCTTCTAATACTTCTAATAAACTTTGCTCTATGGTTTTACCTACTAGGACTTCGAGGATCGGTTGTACTTCCATGTCGAAATCGAATAAGTCGCCTGGGTATATTTGAGTGCCGGTGTCGATGCCTGTTTTGGCGGTCACGTAAAATGGAGATACCGGCCTGTCTAGGAATAGATCGGTTTGCGTGCAGATATCGTTAACTGGTGGGTTGACGAAAATTTCTTCTAAATAATCTTCGGTTTGGATACGTTCGTGTTTTCTACCGGATACAGCTGGTGGTGAGCCGAGTCGCAATCTGGCTATATTTTTGGCTGCTTTGGCTCTTACTTTAGCACGTCTTTGAGCTTCGGCTGCTTTTGCAGCAGCTGATTCTCCATCACCTTCGTGTCCCCGCATGGCGCCAAAATTAGTTCCTCTGTAGATCCTTCTTTCGAACATTACATTGGAGTACGGTGCATCACCACCTTTGGCCATCTTTCTGTTGTTGTACAAAGCCCTAGGGCTGCTGGAGAAGGTATATTCATTTTTGAACAATTTTGTAGCACTGTACGATTGGTTTTTATGCACTTCCAATGCGATGTTGTCTTTTGAAGCTGACTTAGGTTGGATGTTTTTCCGCGTAGCTGGTTTATCTTCTAAAGTCATCTTATTTATTTAATGATAAATATGTTTCAGGTACATTACAGTCACATTATGACAATGACGTTTTAAAATTAGGATTTAATTTAGTATCTAAGTGCTCTGTTTGTTTTGTTTACTTCATGTAACCATAAAACTGACCTTATGGAAGTGTTTTCGTCTTTTTTTCGTCATTTATTCAGTTAATATCTTCTTAATTAGTTGTTTGTTGTAGAGCAAGTTGTTTTGAGATTATCATTTATGATTTTAGGACACAAAATCGACTGTTTGTAGTGCTGTTTCACTTTCTTTACACTTTAACGTGTCTAGAGTAAAAGTTTGATCAATAGTAATTCATTTCATTCATACGTACAACGTATTCAAGTTCTTGCATTGATATATTATTATGTGAATTCTGCTTGCATAAGAACAGCACATAGAGGCAGTCAATTTACAAACTGTTACTTTTAAAAAAGAAAAGTAGTACATTTTTGTCACCCAAATAAATTTTTTATTCGATTCATAAATTTGGCCTAATTTTCGAAGAGTTTGATCGATAGCTATTATTTATACATAGTAACTGTGATCTGGTATACTCTCACTGGAAGTTTTTGTTTGAAGTGTCGCGAATTTATTGATTTTACTTAGATACTTTTTCTTGTACGTTTATCAAGATTTGTACAGGATAGCCAGATGAAAACGTATTCATTATCAGAAATTGCGTCATTATTATATTTTAATACACATTCGAATGGTTTAACATCAGATTTTTTTTTTCGATTTATGGCCTAGGTGTATAAACCTAATATGCCAGTCTCAGTTTGTGTTTAAATTCTCAATCATGTGTGTTCTGTGTAGCGCCACAGCCCAAGTAACAATTTGATATTTTATAAAAGCTGAAAAAACGCTTTCCTACTGGACATTATCGGAATGCGTTCAACTCGTCGACTGTGAGTAAGAAGCGTTATCTAGTACAATAACTGAATTTCGTTCTACACGCTGTAATACTTCAGTGAACCATTTTTTAAAACATTCCGCATTCATGTCCTCGTGGTAGTTTCCTGTTTTTTCTATATAAACACAAGAGCGCTATTTTCCAAAAATCAACTGTCACTTCCGATATGGGTAACAATTAGGCGCTGTTCTTTACCTGATGGTGCTTTCAAACCTGTAGATAATCCCTCTATAAAAGTTTTGCGATGACTAGTTACAGAGGTATCTTGCCATATCTTAGATACCGTGTGTCCAGCATTCACCCACGTTTCATCATCATCATATCTTTTTTAGCGGCTCTAAACTCTTTAATATTTCGTAAATAACGCCGTCGCCAGGACACTATATCTGACCTCTCAATTAAAATTGCTTTCCTACACCATTTGACAAAACGAAATTTTAGGCACCATAAAATTTTTTTAAAAGTTTTACGGCTCAATATTGGAATTTCTTCGTTTTCTCTTAATTTCGTAAGAACAACTTTAAGTGTTAGGGTTTGTTTTCGAAAAAAAAAAAAGAATGTACAGGGTTTTTCATTATAATTTGACCGCTATTTATTTTCATTATTATTGCAAACACAAAAAAAGTTTTAAGTAAAAGCTATGTTGTTCTATCTGTACCGACTAAAAATGTAATAACAGGCTGAATTGTATATACAGGACGACTCTAACAAAATATAATTTAATTTTTTTAATGGACACCCTATATATTTTTGCCATTTTAAGTAGACTTGCGTTTCCTGATAACAAATATATAATATTTTAATTATATAGTGACTTATTGCACTATGAAAGCGTAACACATAGATAGCTATGAAAATCATGTTTCCAAGTGAAACAGTTGTTTGTTTATTAAAAGTTGTCAATTGATTGCTTGTAATGGGTTTTACTGTGGTCGAAAAAGTTGAGGTAAAACAACAAAGCTTTTACTTGAAACTTTTTTTGAGTTCACAAGAATTATAAAAATACGTAGTGGTCAAAATATAATGAAAAACCCTGTACAGTTCTTCGAATGATTTGTTTTTGGTTATCGTCCAATTTCAACAATTTTCGACCACGTGTATGCGTTTTAGGGGCTTGTAAGGAGCCTTTTTTTGTCTTTTCGCGTTCAATACGTTCAATTGTTGACAAACAAATTTAATAAAGTTTAGTAACAAATACCTAATAAATAATAAATAATTATTTGGTATTTGATACGCGGCCTATGCTGACTTCGTCGGAATTTTCATTCATAGACAACAGTGTTGATCATGCATATGATTCACCTTCTCCAATATTTTGTTCTAGTATAGCTAAGAACATTTCCGGAACATTCTTTCAACAGTAATAAATACAAAATGGGCGCAGTATTACAGAACTATTTGGTTCTTTTGTAAATTCTATAAGATTTGTTGAATGCGGTTACCATACAGTTACTACACATTTACACATACTTTAAACAAATGTTTTTTAAAACTTTTATGACTGTTTTATAAATAAAACTTAAATATTAAGTCACGCGACCGAAATTCCTACACCGGAAGTAGTAAAACCGAATGATAAAAATGCTTGCATAGTTATAGACACCAGAATTCATCGATATAGTATTTTTAATACAAATCCCGATGCACGTCAGCAATGACGTCGGTCATTCGTCATAGTACTACCAACTAATTAAAATGTCCCTAACTAAGCTAATAATCCGAAAAAGTCACGTATAGTCACGAGCATTCATGAACGTAGTCATATTACTAAAAAGTCGAAAACTGTTATGGTGATTATTTTGATAATTTTAAGAATTATTTAAATTATTTAGTTTATACATGTCTAATTCTTGATAATATAAAATTTATAAAAACATTATTAAATGTTTAGTACTCAAAAAATAATACTTTACATTTAATAATTTTGACATTCTGTACGCCCATGAAGCTCGTATTTATAGAGAAGAAATGTCATTACAGCAATTGGTACACCTTGTTGCGGTGTTGCAACCCCTTTTTAAAAAATTTCACTGATTTAGTTAGGTTATGTTTATGTTGAGTTAATTATTGATTGTGCATTTTGTTTTCTGTAATTTAAAATCCTTTTGCCTGTATTTTTAAGCTTTGCCAGTTATACTTATAAAAAACTGTTTTTCAAAACAACCATAGAGTGAATAAGCTAATTATTTGTCGTTTAATTTTTATATACAAAATGCCTAAGAAACTAAATAGTCCTTGTAAGGAGTTGATAGCTTCTTTAATCCATTATTTTGAATGAGAGCGTGATAATGATGGACCACGTTTACCTTTAACTGCCGTAAGAGAGGTAAGTTACAAGTTATAAAATTTAATAGAAATATGAAATTATTTTCTTGTCTTTTTTAGTGTGTTGCAGCATCTCTAAATAAAAATATTTCTATTGTCAGTAGTATTTGGCAAGCAGTCAAGAATAATGAATGATTAAAATCGCTAATTAAAAAGCATTCATATAAACAAAGGATTACCTACTAATACAATAACACTGGATACAAGTGGAATCCGAAGTGGTATTTATAATATGTATGAAACAAGTAAGTATAAAGACAAATCTATTAATTCAATCATAATTTATTTATATTACCTATAAAAGTTTTAATTTGTATACAGTAATATAAATACATACTTTTCCTACGACCACTTAGGAAAGTGACACATATCACACTATATAGACCTATGGAAAGTGCCCTATATCACACGCGTATGAATAAGAATTTACTTTCCACCCAAGTGAGAATATGCTACTTTCCGCAGTAGCTGTCAGAAAATGTCAAACACATAATTTCTATTTTGATCTATGTAATGTCCATATTAATGCTAAAATCGATATGATTGTTAAATTATTGTAAATTAGATCCTAGATATTTATCTTTAACAATTATTTTTAAAATAATTTTAAAATAACTAAGATATATTTGCTTTTTATTCTGGTTAAACACATAAGCGATTAGATCAATCAATTACCGTAAGGCCTGTTAGCTCAGTTGGTTAGAGCATCAACTTTGCAATTTGAGACCGTCCAACGACCGCGATCGAATCCTGGCTGTGCCAGAATTTTTTTTTTATTTTTTTTTTTATTTTTTTTTATTTGTTTAGAAATTATGAAAATTTAATAAATACGATTATTGTTGATTATTTTTTTAAATACATTTTAATTATTATAATAATCTGGTTTTACATTTTTTGATGAAATTATTTTGTGGTCGTAGGAAAAATATTGTACATCACTTGTGTGAAAAGTGATTTTCCACACTCGTAATGTAATATACTATATTTGCAGGGGAACATATAACTTTGGAACCTTTAAGAGAAAAGTTGATTGAGAGACAAATGTTTAATGGCTATATTGCATCATTGTCAACTGTATTAAAAGAATGAAGGAAAAAAGATAACCAAGACGTGAACTGTAAATAGGTCAGTTTTTAAGAAATTATAGAATTACAACAGAAGCAGTTCGTTGTCATTGATGAAACATGTATCGTTCAAAATGAAACATTAAACAGCTCCTGGGAAAATAATGACAAAGGGTGTTAGACCTACAAAAATCGATGGCAAGAGATAAAACCAAATTTGAAGTAAATTAAGGTATCAGTAATTGTGTAAATCAAGTAAAAAAAAAATTAATATTGAAATGACACATCATATTGAAGATTTAATGGTAGATACGCTATTCTAGCAATCATATAAAGACAATTTAATTGGAAAAATTTGTTTACAGTGGTCAATAAACATCTACATGTTTTACACATTTTCAAGATGTACAGTGAAACCCAAAAATGCCTTTTCTTTCAGAAATAAACTTTAAAACAATATCAAAAAATTAAAAATGAAGTTACAAGATTTGATATAACGGTGTACCTAACATTAAATCATTGATATAATGTGTTGTTTCGATATTACAATTTAGAATATAGCGATATTAACACACGTTATACGAAATGGCAACTAAATAGAAATAAATAAAACATTCTTTTTTCAGGTGCAAACCGCCAAAGAAATATATGGTAGATAATTACCTAAGCAGCAAAATATAGACAAAGTATTACGTAATCTTCCCTGCCATTGTATTTTTAACTCCATTGAACTTATTTGTGACCTTTCTAAGCAATATTAGAATAAACATATTGGCAGAGAGGGAGTTTTTAATAGATTGGAAATTATTTTTATTATAATTAACCCTAATAGCGATATCGATGACTGCGATTCAAATACTTGCGATCTGGATTAGGAGAAATAAAAGAATTTTATAGGAATAATGAAGATTAGTAGATGAATAATTGTTTTTTTATGAGAAAATAGTGTAATTAAAAAAAAAACATTGTCTTATTTTTAAAACAATAAACAGTTTGATATATTTCTTATATATCTGTATTTTTATTTAATTTATTCCAAGATATAAAAAAAATATTTGACTGAGAATAACATTTTTCAAATGTTTTTTGAAGCTGATAGAATGGAGAATCTTGATGTTTGAGTGATGAATCTATTGTTCATACATGTTTCGATAACTTTAGAGTTGAAAAGAAGTAGCGATATATGTTTATTTTTGAAGCATTTCTGGCTATCTTGAATACTTGAGCTACAGAACCGTTACTGAAAGTGAGATTTACTAAAGCACCTACTCAAATATTTTAACAATTTCCTTCTTGTATTCAAATATTTTAGCATTTTCAAACTTTAATTTTTTAAGTATAGGTATCTACTGATATTATGAATCCTCCACATGTCTTTGTAGTTTTCATTTTTTCAATGACCTCTTTAATTTTATGGAGTGTTGTGGTTTATAACTTAAATATAGTTCTGTTAAATAACTTTCTTGGTGAAATTAAATTAGTTTTAGATATTTTCTATGCTAATTGTAAACCAATTTTGATCCATCTGCAATATACTACCTTACAGTTTTATTTTCCATGACTTGCATAATATGTTTAAAGCTTTTTTGTTCAGATGTTTATTATTCATAAAGGAATTCAATATTTTCCGTTAGTTATATACATTTAAAACTAATTGTTCCTACTATATAGTAACATAACAAATACATAACCTTACAATTTTAAAAAATTCTAAATTCCTCAACTATTCTGACGATTAGGCAACACTGCAAGGTCGTGACGTCATAAATGATCTCTGACGTGCATCGGGATTTGTATTAAAAATACTATACACAATTTTACTTTGAATTAGACAGGTTACACGACAGCTCCCACCACCACCTGGATATAGCGTGCCTTTTTTGCAGTCATATAAGGGACTATCATGCTATTATAATAAAATACAATCAGCAAAGGGTAATTACATCAAATTAATTAGTTTAAAAAAAATTAAATTAAAAGAAATCAATACAAGCGAAGCAAAAAACAGCTAATAAACAAAAACAGATTATTTAACACGTACAATGCATGTCTACGTAATTGTAGATAAAAAATAATTATGAGTATTATTATATTTCATTTGGAAATGACTAAATTTAATTTATTTACATTGATGTTGCTATAAAAATATGAAAAACACAGAAAAAAGTAAACAAGACTTTAAATAGACAACATATTAGAAAAACACGTTCAATGTACTTTATCCAACGATTTTCTAATAAATAAGATTCAATTGCTTAAGTACGATTCTGAAAGATCTATAATATATTCATCTACCACTGCTGCCACAAATTCCTTTTGGTTTGAGACTAGCTTTTGAATCTTTAAGTGGGACAATATGTATTTGACAAACTCTTTTACTTTAAAAATATGTTATTTTGTTATTTAGATAATCCATGCCAATAGAAAATTATAATTTATATCTTTCAGTTGTATTATTGTTCCACTTTTTTTTTCAGTTGGTAATTTATACCATTAATTAGCCATGTTGTAACGAACCTTCTACGTTTCAATTTCAGATAGAACTTCCAATCAAAACATGTACGCATGCCAATAATCTGTGCACAGCAAACGAAAAAGAAGAAGAAAACAAAAAAATTGCTGTTCAAACCTGCAAATATTCGTCAAGTTCGACTTGTCCGTTCATATTTGTATCGATTTCTTTAAGAATATCATGAAGTTCTTCACCGCTAACTTCCTTATCGCCTGATTCCTGTAAACAACACAACTATTACAAAAAAGCTTGTTAGTAACTTACTTGCAAATAATCGGCCATTTCTAGTGTGCCATTAAATGTCACGTTGATGTCGGAAAGAAGGGAGTGAACATCGTCGTCTGTCAGTTGTATCCCTAGAGACTGAAACATTTATTGAAATAGTGTATACGATTTTATCTCAGATAAACAAATGAATAATAGATAAGTAACGGTCTGGATGTGTTTGAAGCTAATATGAACCGTTTTATCTATTACTTTCTCTTTCTTCTTGGTCTTTGATGTGATTCGTCTATTTTAAATAGCAGCGTCATTTACTCACAACTGTCAATAAGCATTTGGGAACTGTCAGTTGTGTGTGCACATTTTGTGTGATTTTATATTCCCAGGGCATATTTTTAAAGTGTTTAGAGTGTCTAAAATGTTTATTTAACGAATTTTGTTAGTTGTAAGTCTAAAAATTATTATTCAATGTTTGTTTGCCCTGAAACAAATTTGGAGAAGTTCCACGTCGTTTTAAAGGTAAGTAAATAAAACACATGGGCGGTACACCTATATTGTAAAATATTATTAGTATTTTTTTAGGCAGGCTTCCTACAAACTGAAGCAATGGAAATTTGTATTCAAATCCTAGAATTAGAGAAGGTTGAAGTTGATAAAATTAACATAAATTGGAAATATAAAATATATCGGAAACATTTTATAATATTTTGTTATGAATTCTGCTGGAAAAGATGAATTTAAAGCTGGAAGCAATTCCTATTTTATTCACTTCTCAACTTGGTCCGTCTTCAAGTAAGTTATACAAGTAAGTTATAATAATATTATGTAATACAATACCTAATACAAATTATTCATACATTATAAACTTGGGAGATTAAATTTAAAAAATAAATGCTATATTGTATTCTCCTAGACAAAGTAAAATAAATCTTAGTGCTTTCTGGAAAGAAAACATTTTATGAAAATATAAACTACTCCAAAGAGTTTCTTGTATCTTAGTAATGAAATGAATTATACTTATAGAATGATTATGTTGTAAATATTTTATAATTCTTTTTAGGGAAAATTTACTTCCTAGTGAATGTAGTGAAAGACAGAGTCTAGAAGTGATTTATAATATAAAGAAGACATCTATAAAAATGCCCAAATTCAGAGACAAAAGGTTATGCTAAAAATAATACATTTAAAAATGCCCGTTTTTAAAAAAATATTTGTCACATATCATTTTGGAGATTATTAAAATATCTAAAATTCCAAAAACTTTAAAAAACATGTTAAAAGTTTATAAATGAGAAGTGTGTTAATCTAGAACAAGTCAAAGGGGGTTATTTTCTAACTTTCAGCTGAAAAAACGAAAGCGCCAAGCAGACTTCTCAACAAAGTCCGATCACCAAAATGACAAGCATGTGATTATGGTATTCTCTAATGCTAGACGATTTTGATATTCGTATGTGATTTTAATTTTTGTTGTAATCTGTCATAATAATTATAAATCGTAAATGCTGATTTGTTTAAATATCTAAGGTTAGTATTTGAATGTCATTTTGACATTATTACAATTATAAACTCAATTAGAATATATTAAGGCCAATTTCAGAATTGTAAGGAATCAAAAACAATAACCATCATACATTTGCTGACACTTTAATATTCAAATCATAATATTTAGATATATATTTTAATTTTTGACTTATCTACTTCCGAAAATAAACTTTTTTGAATGCGTTTTACTTTTTTCAAATAGGAACAGCACAACAAGTAGAGAATACCAAAACGTTTGTGCTTTACACTTTTGCTAGTTGTTGCGTTTATTGAGGGAGCTGAGTGCTTTTAAAAATGGTTAGACAATAAGCTCCCGTTTTAACTCAGCGAAGTAGAAGAAGGTTTTAATCTAGAATATCTGTTAATATTCGCTTCTAACATTTATTTAAGAGACCAAAAATTACATGAGTGAAAATGCATCAGAAGCAGTTGAGGTACCTATGTATCTAGTATTAAAATAAAAATAATTCTATTTGGTGACATACATTTAAATATAATATGTAGCCCATGCACAACTTCGGTTCCTATGGGATTTCCATTATATTTCTTTGAAAATAGACACTCCACTAACCAATTTTATCCTTTTTTTTATTTATAATTACCACTTTTGATACTTTTATATTGTATTTTTTTATTAATTTTATATCGAATTTTTATAATTTAATTCTTGTATTGTTTTTTAATTTGCGTTAATTGTATGTTAATACATTTTTGGATGAAGCTTAATTGAGTCTTATATATAAAAAAATTTTATCACACACAAATTGTACATAGTTAAAATTTAATTTATGTGATTTATTAGATGTATACAGGAGGTTTTTCAGACATTATACATACCATGTAGGAATAAACTAGCTAGATACTGGCGTCAAATATCTGGAATTATTAATAATTGCTCTCGTGAAAAATGAATGCATGATACGGATTTTCTATTCTTACATAAGTTGTTAAATGGATGAAATATTACCAGAAGTTACTTGGCCTCGGCCGTAAATTTCTGATTCGGCCGTAAAAGATCGATACTTACAGCCTTTGGTACACAAATATCTATTTTCATTCTATAAATGTCATTAAAAATTTATGAAAAATGTATTTCTCATCTATAAAATTGTTATTTATGGTAAAGAAATATGTAAAACAAAAATAAAACCTGAATCGATAACAAATCAGTAAAAATGTTGCTAGAGTTGAGGACGCTTTTATACAAAATTGTAATGTTACTATTTTACTAATAAAGCTACAGTTAATTTATCTTAGCATTTTATTTAAATATAAATATATTATCCGAATAAAATTAATGACGTTAGTCAAGGTTTAAAGGCCTCGTCACTTCAACCTTTTTTATGCTTCTAGTTTATATGTTTGTGAAAAGAGATCTATTGTTAATTAACAGTCTCCATTAGATCTTTCTTGCAACAAGATTACAGACTATAAAGGTAAAGTTTCAACAAATTTATAGATTGGTGTCTATCCATTATAAATTACTTTCAAAGCATATAATATGTTTGTTTATTCTTAAGAAATGATAAAATCTATTACATATCATTTTTTTTATATCTTTAAAAATAAGTAACTGCCTTAATTCCTATTTTTTTGACATCCCTCGTATATGCTAAAAAAAATTAAATTTATCACTTCAAGTGGTAAGAATGCTACCTTTAGGTATATAAGGGAAAAGTAAATCGAATTTTTTTTATTGTTGAGTTTCAGAAATATTAATTTCTCCTGGTTTTAAAATAAGATGAAATGATTAAAACGGACCTGCAAAGGCACTTTGTGCACCAATCTCACCAGTACTCCTGTGACCTAATGGGTAAAATCAGTTTGGCTTACTTTTTTCAAAAGGGATTGTTGTTCCATTTAAAATATACAGTTTACTGATATCTACCTATAAACAATATTAACAGTGTAATTATTTGAATTATAAGTATCATTTATTACATTTGAATAAAAAATAGAATTTAATTTTTGTAAAATGAAATTTTATGCATGAGTTGCATTGTTCTTTAAATTTGTTATTGACAAAATATTTACAAAAGAATGCTTTGGGTTCTGATGAAAAAACTATTTGATACGCCCATGGGGACCACAGCTGTCAAAAGTTCGTAGATACTGGCTTCAAACAAAGTCTATGTAAAACTGCGCCCGTAACACATCTATATTCATTTGTTTATCTGAGGATTTTATCTCTCGAAAGTACTCATTGTTTTAAACTATTTTTTTCTATAAATTCGGAACCACATATCTAGATTACTATACGGAGAATGGTCGCATTGTGTACCTTTCTCTATGACCTCTTAAAAGAGAAAAATACGCCATTTTGATTTAAAATTTTGTGTTGCTTACAACTTTGGAATAATATGTTTGAGATATTTATCACAGTTATGGCAAATTTGCTCCATACATAATATAATAATATGCTGCCTAAACGGTAGTGTTTAAATCAACATGGACGCATTCTATCTAGGATGTACCATAGAGTAATCTAAATATGTGATTCAGAATCAATACTGACCTTGAGGCTTCTTCTAATATCATTAATAGATACATATCCCTTTCTATCCTTATCAATGTACTGGAATCTTTTGATATATAACTGAATCTCTTCTTTACTCAGATTGATGGGTATTTTATCTCTACTGGCCCTATTAACGTTTTGACCCATTTCATTTTGTAGAAACTCCGTAGCGTCGTTCATTTGTTTCTTCTTTTCCGCTATAATGAGAAAATAATATTTAGAAAAAAGCAGGGAATTATTTATAATCATGTTTATACACACCTGCAGACCAACCCAATTCTTCCGCCATAATATTTACAATATCCGGTAAGGCTTCTTGTGCAGCTTGGACGTTAAGGAAGGCTAATCTCACTCTTCTGGCTATCATGTCGATGGCTGTCATGGCGTATTCTTTAACTCCGTACCTAACTTCGGCGTCGATGTATGGAAACTCCGGATGGAGCTTTTTACCAATGATTGGCCATCTTTTACCTACAACAATAACCATTGGTTATTAAAGAACCAAACAACCTTACATATTATTTTGATAAAATAAGGGAATACTTTTCAAGAGTTTTTATAAAAATTTTGATAATACGTCTGCTTCACTCGGTTTTTTAAAGCTGTGCCCATATGAATAAGGAAAAACACGTTTCAGCCTAATTAAACTAAAATGGATGTCATTATGAAAGTATTTGCACTAATCAGATGTGAGAGCTTCACCATGTGTGTTGATAGAAATTGCTAAATAAGCGATAACTATCTACAAACCTAAGTGTCTATCTAAAACTTTAGGGTTATTTGATTTATACACTATCAATTTAAATTTATATACCAATTTATTTAGACATATACATATATTTATAGATTTAGACATGCATACCGATTTAGACATATATACCGTTTTAGACATATATACCGATTTAGACATGTAAACCGATTTAGACATATATACCGATTTAGACATTTATTTATACCGATTTATTTATATTTACGTAATTAATTACCATTATTATTTGGTGCCACGCACAAGTAGAATCTTTAAAATTCTCCTTCTGTGGCTTTGTCTTTTGTTTGTTAGAAAATTATTATTGACTCTTAGTTGTAAATTTCTGTATTTTTTGGCTAATAAACACATTATTATTATTATTATTATTATTTTTATTATTATTAATATTATACACCAAAATAGATTTTAAAAAAGATATACGGCCGGTTGTAACAACGTTAATTAAAATTTATAGGTCCAATAAACTTTGACAGAGTTTAAGATTGTGATCTGTCGAATAACATAAACTTTAATATACGCAGTCTAACCCTTTCACCTTTATTTCTTATTTTTTTTTTATAATTTGCTAATTTATAAAAAAATACTGGTATAAATTTAGGTAATTTGAGTGCTGCAACTCTAAATCTCCCTGCTAAATGACAATGGTCACGCATTTTATGATTAGATGATTGAAAACTGAAAGTTTGTTCCAACAACAATTACAAACCATGATTCTGCCCAGTAGATAAGTTGGCGATCCTAATAATATACTGCGCAGAATCCTGGTGACAGTGAATAGTTTCTGATTGTTGAAACCAAAGACATTACAACATATAGACAAAATGTTTCATTCATAAATCCCATAAAATTGCGAACTGTTATAGTTTTAAAATTGTTAGTGAGTGGAAGAAAGAAAGACATATCTCTTATGTCCGGCTGGCAACGTTGTAAACAGTGTCCATAATATGCTCGCCAGTGGCGTAGAGTTTTAAACTTACCAGTATTGTCAAAGTAGTATGTTAAAAAAATATGTAAATATGTAGGTATATTTTTTTAGTAATATAATTATGATGATTTTTTCATAGGTAAATTAGATTAGATTATGAGTTGGACGTTATTTGTCCTTGTCCACCGCGATCTTTTCAGATCTATTGTGGGACTCCTGTTGGTTTTAGAGTATGTCAGCCTGGTCTTTTTTATTAGTCTTAGTAGCTTTGACAGTGGCTCCCGCATGTAGTTGCATGCAATTGGCTTTTCTTCGCCCAATGTTAGAAACCTTGTTCCAGCCAGGCATTCACATTGGCACAGGACGTGGAATATTGTTTCCTCTTCTGCTTCACAGAACCTGCACAAAGTTGCTTCTTCTGCTGGATTTATGACACTCATGGGCCTTTAGAGGCGACAGTGTCCAGTAAGACGGCCTACTGTTATCCTAACGATTTGACGCTTTTGATCCAGTAGGTCTTTCGTGAACTTGGCCGATGGTTCCTTGATAAACTGTTTGGCCTGTCTCAGTCTTAGATAGTTGTTCCATCATTCCTGAGACTCTGTTTGCATCCATTGTTTAATGGATGCCTTGCACAATGCCTTAGTAACTCCACAGAAGGGCCCGGGGCCTGTCATGGCCTTATCTGAGCCTCCTCGGGCTAATTCGTCGGCTTTTTCGTTGCCCTGATATCCCTCATGGCCTGGAACCTAGGCTAAGGTCACCTTATTTTAACTACTTAGCTCTGTCAGGCCTTCTAGACAGTCTTTCACCAGTCGTGATTTGATTTCTGGTGAGAGAATTTCCTTCAAAGTATATGACAATAGTTTTGCATGATACTTGCTGATTTTTCATGTAGGTAAATTTAAGTACAAGTAAATTCAAATACAAGCGAATTCAAGTTGCCTTTCGATTTTTAATATTTATTGGTTTATAGTTTATTGGCATTTACTATATATTTGCCTGGTATGATGTTAACTAAAATTATTTAAAATTTTAAATTAACATTAAGTAGGTAGGGGTATCTAAATAAAACACTGTCTTAAAAATATATAATTTTTTAATTAATAATTACAAAAAAACATGGTATGGCAAAAAATATCGTAAAAAAACTGTAAAAATTTTTAAAATAATGTTTTAAATATATAAAATACTTTAATTTTATTAACTAAAATTTCATTTAATTTTTTTATGCTTAGTTATTAATGTTATAACTTACTGCAACGTTTCTTTTTGCAGCAGGTGGTGTTCCAAAAACAGTTGAATCAGAACTAAAAACCCATACATTAGATATACATACATAGAGGTAATAAATAATGTATTATATTGATTATGAATTTGAATTTTGAATTATGTATGAATTTTTTTGTTTGTAATATAAACTAACCAATATAATTTTTAGAAATTATTAAAATAAAATTTTATATTTACCTTTGAATTCTTTTTTTTTTTTTTTTTTTTTTAATTTTATTGGGCGCCTTATAATTTTGATTTATTTTTAAATTCACATGAAGACTTACTTAAATACACTACCAAAATTTGATTTTTTTTTTTTTTTATTTTATGATTTTGTTTTTATATTTTGACCAGACCCTGTATATTACTTTATTTTTAATTCCTTTTTTTTTATTATTATTAATGAAAAATCCTTTTATAAAATTTAATCAAAACAATTTATTTAAATAATTAACTTTAAACAATCAAATACCACTTATTAGTCACAAAAAAAAATTATATCTAGAATTTTGAAATAAAACCTTATTAAATTTATTAAAAATTGGTACTAAATCCATAGAAATAATAACTAAATCTCATTTTAATGAAAATCAACAGATATAGGTTTTATTTCCAATGAGTTTGAATTGCAATCCAAATTTCTTAAAATTAAGGATAGAAAATGGCGTCATACATATAAAAATTATCTCATCTATCGAGTGATAGATAAACCTTACATAAAATAAAATTTGATTTCCACACTTGAAATTACAGGACTATATCGTTCGTTAACAGATCGCACCACGATCTCTGTCTGTTGTATTTTTGTTATTTATGAAGAGTTCTTCACGTGTAGTTTTAACAGATGCTTTTTAAAGTAAAAAAAAACTATATTCTTACTCGTGATGTCTCCCAAATATTCGTTCAATGATGTCGATGATTATTTAAAACATAAAGTCACTTACAATTAGTGTGTGGATTACACTTCGAAGAGATTTACAGTTCAATTCTAAATTCTTAGACTCAGAATATCTAATGCCGGCCATTAAACTCCAGGTGTCGTTCAGCTAAATCTTTCCAGTAATTAAATTTTACTAATTTACCTGTCTTGCTTGCTAAACACATGCTTAAAATTATACCTAATTATTATTGAACAGTTTTCTATAGGATTTTCATTTATATAAAGGAATTATTTTCTTACAAATCAAATTTTAATTTCAGATTTCAATTTCAAATTACTTTTTTTAAAAAATCTCAAGTCGGACTCCCGTCTAAACAGAAATCGTTGCCTCACAACCGATCAAAACCTGCTACTAGATACTACATATCATCCAATCAAAATCTGATATGAATTAAAGTAAGTAAATTTTGGTTTTATTTCTTCTATCTGAGTAAAGAGTAGATCATGTTTATTTTCTATCATTCAATTTACTTTCTTTAGCTTTTATTTTAGAGTCAAATTCTATCTTAAATCCCAAATTAAATTCCAGTTTGATAACTGTCAATCTTCAGATTATATTGACCACCAAAATTATCAGTAGTCAAACTGACTTATATTGAACACAGAAAAATAACAAGTAATGTCTCTTAAATTGATTATTATTCTTAAAATTTTCCAAAATTAGTTTTAAAAACAGGTTATTATTATTATAAACTTTGATCTATTATGGCCTGTTTGAAATAGAATACATTTTCTAATCATTATCTTAAATTTAAAATAAAATTAATATTAAAATATTTTTGTACACAAATTCCGGTCTGTACTCTCACAGGATAGTATAGAGGTAAACAAAAAATTAATATTTTGTATTTTTGCCTGTTGGATAATTCATCCAAAAATAGAATCCCCTCACACCGTTTGGAGTTTGCATCTCTTCTAAAATATCTAGTAACATTTGCACGTACCAAAACATTTTTAGGAAAACAGTGTTCTAAACACAACTCTGGGTTTTTACGAAGGGGCTGATTTTCAAGGATTCATATTAGAGAAAACCAAAGTTTTCTTTTCTCAGGATCTTGCGGAAACCTAAACAGAGTAATAAAAAATATGTATAGGTGCTCAATAGGTAAATCATTTTTAAGGTATTCTACATTTTACGTTAAATTTTCTTTGCCACTATTCAATAATTATTTATTGGTATAAGAAAAATTTACTAATTTATAAAAGGAATATCATTTTAAAAACTGTTTTAAGACTGTTTTAAACTACACAAGTTTTTGATACAATTTCTTGTACAATTTAAATTGTATATTATCAAACCTGCAGTAAATTGTCTGAAAAATTAGATTGGATAATCATTTTTCAAACAATTTACTATATGATCCTATATAATTTAAATTCTATAAGAAATTGTATCAAATCTTGTACAAGCCCTACTCCACTGGTTCAAATGAAAACTACATATCTTAACCTAAAAATACTTACCGATGAAACCATACATTTCGACTTAAATGATCTACCTTTTTGAACACTACACATGCATGTACCATAATTCTTTATATTTCTCACAAAAGTTCACAAAAATAGTATTTTATGAATAAATAAATCAATAAGTCACACAGAAACTGTCAGATACTGTCAGAAATACAAAATAGCTGTTAGACCTGATTGGCAACGTTGCGGCTGGTTACGGTACTACATTTCATTCATAAAAATTATAAATTCGTAAAATAATTCAGCGTTGCCGTATTTACGGAGTTCTTCGAAACCCTAATATTTTGTTTAGATTAATATTGATTTTTTAATAAAAAATTTAGCTTATATTAAAACTTCAAAGAATAATTTGATTAAAAACATATTTTTATTTATATAATATAAAATTATAGTTACAGGACACATCAAATTTTATTTTTCGAAAGTAATTTCTCCAAATAATTTTGACAGACTGATAAAATCGGCAAAGACGCAATAAACGAGAATCTGGTGGGAATAATAATTTGCCACATAAAAATGTAAACAATTTGGTCTCTTAGTTGTAATGTCTTTGGTTGAAACAGACCTTCAGTTTCAAACATGTAACACTATAGGTTTATTCAAACTTGCTGTTTGGTACCGTTCTTGTATCATACCAACATCAGTTCATGAACAGTGTACTGCGCAAGCGCATCTCTGAATGGTTTTGGAACCGAAACGAGTTAGAACGCTTTTAAAACTGTTGATGGTGTATAGAAAAAATAAAAGGTGAAGAAAATGCTAACGTGATTCTAACCAAACTTTTCGAAAAGAAAATAAAATAGTTTTATGTTTTATTGATGTTATTGATTTTTTATTTTATTATTCTAGATTCTGCGGCACAATGGAAAATAATGGTAAATAATGAATATATTCTGTGCAAATAATTTTTGTTTTTCATTCTTTCTTGGTTTGCCATTAGCTTCGTTCGTGGTAACAATCCTGAACTGATTCAGAATTAGTAATTCATACTTTGAGCGCATGCTCGAATCATTATCAATTCTGAATTTTTACCGCGCACGCAATCCCTATTATATCTTGGTGATTGGTATAGACAAGCGGTTCAAAATCAATAATAATTTTACTGCGAACACAGAATAGAACCAATATTTCAGTTATTTTTGTTCCGTGAACGCTTTTTAACTACTGCGCCTGCGAAATCGTTACTATTAGTAATAATTCGGTTTAGGATTCTTACCGCGAACAAAGCTAATATTTCTAAATCATCACTAGGTACTAATAGCATCGTCACTAGTATCATCATCAAAAAAATCACTGTCTCCTTATACAGGGTGTTATTGAAATACACGTACATATTAAAACTGGGTATTGCGCAGATCCCCACTGAATGTAGAAAAATATTATTTTATAAAAATACCCCTTATTAAGGGAGTTATTAATTTTTGAAAATTAATTCTAAAACAAACGTACTTCACTGATATGTTGAGGATGACCTATATAAATTAGGTTTATTTACCTATTTTAAACATCAACAGTAATTAATATGCAAGTTTTTGTCAGATGATAAGAAAACTAGTCTTGTAAGAAATAACCATGTTGCCAAGATTTTCGAATTAATTTCTATTTCCGAAGACTGGTTTTTACTACCCTCGTTATCAAAAAACTAGAATATTTGATAAATGATTGTTTTTAAACTATACATTTTTGAAACTATAGATTATTAAAATTTTAGTTGATTTACGAATCTGGCTAACACGAGCGCGTCATTTCCAAGTTGGTAAAAAGTGTTGTTACGATTACTTTTAAATATTTTTTTACGATGCCACTATTTACGAATATTGAACTAACGGATATAGTGCTGGTTTATGGGGCAGCTGGAGAAAATTCTCGGCAAGCACAAATCCTGTATCGCGAACGGTTTCCAAATCGGAGAATTCCGGACTATCGTACGTTTATTTCAACTGTTCAGCATCTAAGAGACCATGGAAAATTTGAGAGTGTCAATGCAGATCGAGGGAGAACAAGAACACAAAGAACATTGGCGGCCGAAGAAGAAATATTGGAAGCTGTTGAAAACCGGCCTCAATTAAGTTGTAGAAGACTAGGTCTTGAAATTGGAGTGTCCTCATTTGTTGTGTGGCGGACGCTTAAAGAACAAGGTTTACATCCTTATCACATCCAAAAAGTCCTGGCTTTATATCCAGGTGATGAAGAAAAGAGAGTGGAGTTTTGTGAATGGATGATTCAAAAATGTGTTGATATTCCTGATTTTCTAAAAATATTATTGTATACTGACGAGGCTTCATTCACTCGTGATGGCGTGTTCAATATGCACAATACGCATATTTGGAGTGATGAAAATCCTCACGCCATTAGGGAAACTGGGCATCAAAGAAAATGTTCAATAAATGTTTGGGCTGGCATAATAGATCAGTATTTAATCGGGCCTTATGTTCTCCCGAACAGATTAAATGGGCCAGGATATCTCCACTTTTTAGAAGATATTTTGCCAGTACTCCTAGAAGAGATACCGTTACAATTAAGGCAACGGATGTGGTACCTACTAGATGGCGCTCCTCCTCACTTTGATTTAAACGTACGGCAGTTTTTGAACATTAGATTTCCTCAAAAGTGGATAGGCAGAAATGGACCTACTAAGTGGCCTCCGAGATCTCCGGACTTAAATCCATGCGATTTCTTTTTGAGGGGTCACATGAAACAACTGGTTTATAATGAACCTATTAATAGTGTTGAACAATTAACCAATAAAGTTAATGCGGTAGCCGAGGAACTACGACAAAATCCAAGACTAATTTCTAATGTTCAAAGTTCTTTGGAAAGACGATTGCAAGTGTGTGTAAATAATAATGGACGGCACTTTGAACAATTACTGTAATAAACTTTATTTTGAATTAATTGGTTTTACTACGGCAACAGTGCAATTTCTATGGGTAAGTTCAATTTCGATTTATTTTACTTCTTTAAATATGGAAACTAGTAGGTCGGAAAAGGGGACTCTTCCCCAATATATAAATTTTAGAATTTGAAGTTAAAATTGGTGCCAATCGTTTTTGGTCATTACATACTATTCCCCATTTTAATATGTACGTGTATTTCAATAACACCCTGTATAGCACTCATTTTCTAAATATTATGATTTATAAACAGTGTTTTCTAAATTAAAAATGTATATCTTGTTCTCATCTACCCATCAAAACGCTATAAATTTGTAGGTTAAGTTAACTAAAACTAACCTTTTTCAACATATATCGATCTTTGCGCAAGTCAGGTCTAACAGTTCCTCAAAAATTTGTGAATCGATATGACGGTACAAAAACTATTCCGGAAACATCCATTTTTTAGTTGGAACGAATTCTGTATCATCCCGCCCACATCGTACAAATTAAATTGGAACGCTTTGAGTGTAATACGCATGGGCTGTACCGTTAGTGAATTTGTTGGAACAAACCTTATATTGCTTTATCATATTCAGTTTATTTCTACTTCTCGGAACGCTAAATAAATCTCTTAATGGCAGAAGATACGCGTGAAGTAGGTGAAGGAAAACGTTCAGGGCTTAAATGTTTATGATATAAAAGAAGGAGGAAGAAATGGCTGATATTAATATGGTTACTTAATGAAGAAATAATGGCAAAAGCAACGCACATTATAAAGGAATGTATATGAGCAACAAAAACAATATGTCAATCTAAGTAATAGTTATTTACGGTTTCATCCTCAAAATTCATTTATATGCTTTTTGTAGCACCTGCCTACGAATAAAAAAAGGATCTTACCTGTCAAGGACGCCATTTTGGCAACAGCAAAGGCTCTATCGCCATACGATTTAGCCAAGTGCTGCGCAACCTCACATTCGAGTCCAAAATCTTGCACCAAACGAATGTACATCGTTGGCGTCCAACCATGCGCCCCTACTAGTTGCATCATGTCGGTTTGACAGTTTTCGTGTTTCGGGTTCAAACAAGCACCTAAAGAAAAATATATTAAAAAATGTATTTTGTAAATTAGTTTGTGACTTACTTTCAATAGCTGCATCTATCGTTTCGGAAGCCATGGATCTGTAAGTAGTCCATTTTCCACCGGCAATTGTAACTAATCCGGATGGACTGACGTGCACTATGTGATTCCTAGCTAGAGATTGGGTATCAGGTTTATTTGGATCAGAAACTAAAGGTCTGATTCCACTCCAGGCAGACAATACATCCCCTCTTCTAACTGTAAATTACATTTAAGAAATAAATAATGGTCGATATCTACGATCAAATTTTTTGTATAAAAAGATTGGCACTCACCTTCCACGTCAGGATTAAGATAATTCTTAACCTCTTCCAAAATGAACACAATCTCGTCTTCAGTAGGTTTTGGATTATGGGTTACTTTACAAGGCAAATCTGTTGTTCCTGCGATTGTATGTCTCTGCCAAGGCAAGAAGAAGATGACTCTACCATCGCTGGTATCAGGATCAAGAAGACCCATCTGTTCAGGACTGTAATATCCTTTAAATAAAGCAATTAATCAGTGCGCGGTACATAAAAAAGAGTTTGGAAAATGGAAAAGTCAAGAAAAAAGTGAAAAGACGTCCTAGAAATGACAAGAATCGAAAATTAAGGAAGATAATATATACTAAGTATTCCAATTTTACCTGGTAACGTGATATGTACCCCACTGCTTGGCGCGCAGATCTCTTTAACATTAGGATCGTCCATTTTTCTAATACTGTCCGTAAACGGTCCTGTGGCATTGATAACGCATTTCGCCGGTATATTCCAAGTTTTTCCGCTCAATTCATCTTTGACGGTTACCCCGCATATTACATCTTTGCCATTTTTACTTTCTTTGAGCAGACTAGTGACGGAAACGTGATTGGCTATAGTTGCTCCGTTCAAAGTGGCCGTCAAAGCTATGGCTAAATTCATCCTAGCGTCATCTTGTTGACCTAAAACATTGTATTTTTTATGAAGTATGGAGGTCTGTACATTGTGCTCTGCAGAATACATTCTATATAGTTTGTTGACTCGCATATACAAAAATTAGACAACAAAATTACCTACCATCATAGTAAACAAGACCTCCAACAAGTTTGTCGCCTCTCAACATTGGAAATAGTTCTAAAGCATTATTTTTTGATAGAAAATATGAAGATTTGACAGTTTGTCTACCAGCTATAATATCGTAAGCTTTTATACCAGCCCAGTAATAAGGTACTTGCCACCACCTAAGACAATAAAAATCTGTATTCAACTTGGATTATTGAAAAATGAATTAAAATATATATAAGATTCTTGTTTACCTGTATACTGGCAACATGATTGGAAGAGGATGCGCCAAATGTGGGGCTTGATATAACATAACAGCACGTTCGTGCAAGGCTTCTTGTACCATTCTATATTGTTCGTAATCTAATTGCATGATAGCTTTTTGGAGATATCGTACACCACCGTGAATTAATTTCGTACTACGACTGGAAGTACCGCTGGCAAAATCGTCAGATTCTATTAACGCAGTCTTTAAACCTAAAAGAAAAACATTACTTTTAAACTTTTTAGTTTTTTGTGTAGATACAACTAATCAAATTTAAGAAACATTAAGTATTAGATTCTTACCTCGTGTTTGGGCGTCTAGGGCACATCCTGCTCCAGTAGCACCTCCTCCGATAATCACAACGTCGAAATTGTCTGTTTGAAGGGATTTGATTTGTTCAGCTCTTGTGGGAAGTACTCGTTTCAATTTTTGACTAGGTTCTTTGGCACTTACGTTGGCTGGCCACTGTACAATAATAACACAGTAAAAAGATTATATCTATAACACTATTTAATACTTACTCTTTGTTTTCCCTCATCTTTGAGTAGAAGGTATGCCGCTAATCCTGCTCCAACTGTTCCTGCTATGCTTCCTACTGCTATTTTTTTAAATTTCGACGCCATTTTCCACTAGTTTGTACCTTAAACAAATACAACTATAAAAATATTTTGCTTGTTATAGTGTCTCATTTTGTTGAAAACTTTGACATGTGTCAGACAATGTTTTGACAAATTTGACATTAGATAAGATAATATACTGGTTGGTGTATGAATTTCTATCCAATCCAATATCTTAATAACTAAAATAAATATTTAAGTAGAATTTAGAATGGGGAGGGATTTGATTAAATTTAAATACATCTGCAGAACAATTTTGGTAGTATATATTGAGAAAAAAAGAGTTTTCGACTTGGTAGAAACACCACCATCGTCTAAGGTAGTGCTGGGATTATAACTATCTATCAATTTGTAAGTTAAATGAAGGATGTCATTCAATGTATAGTTTTGCATAAGTATAGTTGTCACAATGAGGTTGAATAACCTCTATGAGTCGTCAATGCAAAAGCAAGAGAAAGGGTGTAGATCCATGTAGATCACAGAACTCTCAGTGGGTACTAGTAGGTACACTAAATTTAATGACGTACCGTTTAAAGATATTCCTATTTAATAAAATACGTTTACTTTTTATGCACTTTGGTATCACAATACTGTATTTAGATAAGAATTAATTTTGATTCTCGTGATTGAGAGAAACAAATTAATATAATAATCTTTAATCTAATATCTGGTAAACTTCTAATATACTTTGTATTAGAGACAATTTTTACTAAAAATTACTGATTTTTTAGGATTCTTTTTTCATAATTACAATGATTAATCTTAAATGTTTCACACTGGTGACAGGCGATTTTTGAACGGACCTTTATCTTTTGATAAATGAAAAGAATAAATGACAAAAAATAACAAACTTTTCTGTTTTTGACGATACAATTTGAAAGATGTTACATATTTTTAGGGGTATATTTTAAGTACCTTTTCCTTATTTAATCCTTGCTTTGTTAGGAAGTATTAAGGACAGTACACATGGTTTGTTTTTTTTAACTAGCTTCAATGAAATAAAAAATATTTACTAATATCTTATGTTGTGTTAAAAACAATTTGATTAAACTTTTCGAATTTTGATAAAAGAAATATGCGGATGATATTTGGATACTTATTTTACTAATTAAGGTCAAGAACCAAATTAAATTATTAAATTGTATTTTATCCGGTTTTGAAAGTAGTATAAAAATGTTTAAATATTATGTATGACGATTTTCCCATTAAACCTTGTAACAAATATAAAAGAATTTTATAGTTTTACTGTCAAGAGTTTGTGATCAAGCCTAAGGTCATCTTTAATGTAATTGCATTGTCATGATGCAATGATAAATATAGTAATTGTTAAACGAAAAATATATTGTAGATGTGAGATGGAAACATTTTTGCAGGCCGATCTCAAATTAATTCCTTCTCAAACCATTTCTTATAAAAAAAACATTTAATTTTTTAAATTAAATTCGCAGGTATTTTTTGTTAATATAATATCTACTTACACATTTTTTGTATTTAATTTCATTAACTACGTAATATCTAAATTGAATTGGCATATTTTTAGGTGGTGGTGGTGGTGATGGTGGTGGTGGTGGTGATCGTGGTGGTGGTGTGACAAGGGATTAGATAATAAAAATATTTATAATGTTACAAAAACAGTTTATATTGTGCTCCATATTTTTTCAAGACATTATATGTATAAACAATACGAATAAATAACATGACAGAGAAACATATTTTTATTGCCTAGGTTTCTTTTTCAAACTATTATGCTGTCAACTTCCATTTTTAGTATAGGATAATTATGTGTGAAAATTATCATTTTTCCCACATGGTTTGTGATAAATTCAAATTCAAATTGAAGCCAAGTTCATAACAATTAGATTTAAAGTATGTATAGGTACGCTGTGTTTCGTAACTCTGCATCACGATTTTTAGTTACCTCATTATTACGTTTACAATCATCTGAAAATAAATATTAAGATAAGAAATATACGCGCATTAAATATTATAATAAGTGATTATAATATATTTATTACTGATTAAAAAATATTAAAATACCAGACACCGTTTTATAACAATATCAATGCTTAAATAATAATAATTATTATTCGCTTTAGCTAAAGAAATTTATACAACTTCATCAAAGGTTTTATAAACAATCAGTGGCGTAGTCAGTTATTTTTCATGAGGGGGGTTAACAAACAATTAATAGCGATCAGCGCTAATAAGATAGCGAAAACGTTGACGCGAAGATCCTCCAGGGAGGGATGATGACCCCAAACCCCCCGTGGCTACGCCACTGTTGACAACCAAATATTTTCTTGCACAATAAGTAATGAAGATTGGAATTTATTTATTCCTTAAGTGTCTCATTGCCCAGAAACGTTTATGTCAATATTTGGTTTGGACTGTGTATTATTATTTAGCATTTTCTGTAATTCCGGAACATTCTTTTAACAGTAGTAAACACAGAATGGACGCAGTATTACAGAAATGTTTGATTCATTTGTAATTTGCAAAAAAGCTGCGAAATTATTGGATTTCGATTACTATTATTAACAGTTATTCATTTGCTTATCCATCTATAAATAACATCACAGTTTACTATTTTATTTTTTTTTTCCACTCAAAGAAAAATTGTAGATAACATTTACCTTCCCTTTTTTAAATTATTTTTTTTTTAAATCATGATGATATTAACCAAAAATTTGGTATGTAGATGTCACCCTCAACTCAAAAAGTTATTCGAAATATTTAGCACCAATTAAAATTGGAAAATAATAGATCTAATTAGTTAGTTAGATCACTACATGATTGAGAATATTAAGTTTGTAATTTTTATTTTAATAATATTGTGCCGTATTTTCAAATAATTCAAAATTAAATGAGGTTGATACCCGGTTTCCCTTACAAATCTAACAAAACCACTAGAAAAGTGCTCCATTAGCTCCATTATTTCTGTTTTAGATTTCCTACCTTAAGTAGACGACAGTATATTAGGGAATATTAAAGAATTATGATTTTACGTAATGAATACGTCACTAGAGTAGATGAAGCTCGGCAAGATAGATTCATAGTGTATCTTGATGAGACTTTTAAGATATTGTGAAAAAAGCACGGAGTGATCAATCTGCTAAATGTTCTGTGAATGCTCATCCAAATAGAGGAAAACGTATTATAATATTACATTCCAGTAATGAAAACGGTTTTGTGCCAAATTGCTTGCTATTATCAGCAAAGGATATTTTGAGTTGTTCAGCAGATTATCACCAATATTATGACATCTACCTTGTTCGATAATGGTTTGGTGAACAACTAATTCCTAATTTGCCACCAAATGCTGTCAAAGTAATTGATAATATCTCTAACCACTCTCGTCAAACTAGTGAAAATCCAAAAGCGAAAGCTCGAAAAGAGGTAGTTTCCGCGTTTTTGGACAAAATGGGCGTATAAGTATTCTCTTGCAATAGTGAAAGGCTTAAATCTCAAACCAAGCTATGTTTTGGATTAGATAGCTATGGCATTCATTCATACCGTAATAATTTACCACCGTATTATCGTACAATAAGTGCCATATAATTAATTTGGAGTAGTATCAAAAGGAAGGTCATAAAAGAAAATAATACTGCGTAGTCTGAAACCGTTTTAGAAAAGTTGTTGGAGCTATATCTTAAGAATTGTGCTTCAATTAAAGATACTGGTGTAAAAAAGAGGCAGCTCAATTTTTATAGGAATTTTCTTTTTTTTTAGTGTAATATACTAATAAAAGGATGCTCTCTATTCATTGCTGCAAGAACGAGGCAGCTCTGCAGTAAATCAATTCATATTTTTGCTACTTCGATGCAGCACCTGTAATCGTAAAACGCGCAGACACAGGTTTAATATGATTTTTTAGTAGTCATTACTGTATTTTGGCTGTGTTGAATTCATCAGCGGCTGTATTAGAGATGAATTTGATATCTTCCAGAACCTGGAGTAAATCTAACTCTACCTGTTTCTGACTTACAACCTCTACCTGGGCTTTTACCACTCAAGCGCCCTAAATATCTAAAATTAGAAGAACTATCAATAAAATAAATTCATCCCTTCTGATTGTATGTGGTTTTTTATAGGTGCTTAAATTGAGAATAATAAAAAGTGTACTAGTTATTTTATTCTTACATAAATAAAATACTAAAAATTGAGATTTTTTTATTGAATAGAGTATTAGTTTAGAAGCTGACACATTTTAGATAACTTTTCGGTGCAAAAAGGAGGCAGCTACTTAACTTATTTTTACATGCTGTACTTTTTAGATCCATAATATATTCTTTAATAAACCACATTCTGATGTTTACTAAAAAATTTTAAATTAATATTCTTAAATTTAAATAGTTTTTACCTTCTACTGAAAAATTGCGTTCTCCTTGTTACCAAAATTCTTGCATTATAAACCTGAATGACACGTCAAGTTCTGATGTAACCTCGTATCTTCTCTTTTGGTTTGACTGTAAATCTTCTATCATTCTGATTTGTGCCAGTATTCTTGTAACCCCTTACGATTACAAGAAGTAAATTTTGAACAATGACTAGATTTTCTGTTGAGGCAGACTGAGTTTAAAGTCTAGGGAGTCCAATCTCTGTTGGTTCAAGTTATTTTGAAAAGGAACATGATACTGTTCCTATTTTATTTTTCTAGGAATGTAACTTTGACGTGTTCAGAAGGCTTGGATACTTCAATCACTTCAAAAATTAAAGCCCGACTAATACATTTCACAGTTATTCAAATTTTTTATAAGAGGATACTAATAACAGTTGTTTAAGCATTTTTCGTAACATCCTTCATTGATTTTTAATATTCAATGTAATAATTAAATACTTGATGTAAATGAAATAGTAGATGAAATATTATAAATTTTTGCCTTTAAGATAATATTTAAATACGTATAACAATTCCTCTTTAAAGAGTAACATACAACTAATTAGGTCCGTCCCTGGGTTGCCGTTAAACGTGTTTTTTTGCGATTTCCTTTGTTTTGCCGAAATAG